TGACCCTCGCAGTGCACTTCGTTTTGGCGGCGGAGGGCGGGGCTACGGCCCAGGAGCAGGCTGCTTTGGGGGCTTTTCTGACCGGCTACATTGGCGCGCAGGTGCAGAGAGTGAGTATGCTGGGATCGTCGAGGCGGGAAGGATTGTGGCTTGGTGTTGGTCGGATTTAGGGTCACAGTGTTGAGTTGGATATGTGAGTCTTAAGTCCTTCTTGTTTAGGCTAGGCCGAACGAGAGAAATCGGTTCCGACCTCCGAGAAGCGAATGGGTTCCACTTGTCGGTTCGGTTCGGTAACCACGTTCGGTCAGCTCAGTCATACCAAGCCACGCCAAGGCTGAATCAGGTTGAAGTCATGTGAAGTCGGTGTTTGTGGCGTGGCGTGAGACTCTGGTGAGGTCCAGCGCCAACCCGGTCGCAGCAGTGGTTCTGGATGGCTTGCAGCTGACCTTCCGCTTCCAGCCTCCCGAGGTGACGAACCGAGAGACCTGAAGGGGGCCTTGGGATCGGGTACTGTTCTCGCTTGAGTACGCAGACCACGCCCCGCCAGACCATGTCATCCCAGGAACTGGATTGATGTCCGGAGGCGAATGAATGGTATAGACTTAGCCCCCAGACGTGGACAAACAACGTGCAATTTGACAACAGCGTTTCGGTATCGCTATGTCAAGGTCAAAGGTCCGAGTTCGAACGGCACTGGATTCCGCGACTAGGATTCCGCAACTGGGCGTCCGCAACAGTTCGGGCAGCAACCACAGGCCCCAAGGATCCAAGCAAAAGCAAACACAGGGGTGGGAGGGGTGAGGCGGGGTCCGAACAGGCGTCTCTCAGCTGAGCATTGAGTTGCAACACCTTAGGTTGCATTGCAACAGCCACAACGAAGGATCGACGTTTGCAGCAGATGTATAAGCTCAGCATGGCCGTACAGCTATATAGTTTCTTTGGACATCAACGTAGGCCCAATTTGTCTTGATGTTTGCATTTGCGCTGAGTAGTCGTGGACCAACATTCAGTTTCAACGGGTTCCTTGTAGTGACGTTTGCATACGTTGACATAGACTGTAAAGCGGAGGGAGCGTGTTAATGAATGTACAACTCTGCTTTTGACATGTCCTTGCGCAGGTTCTGGGTCAACTAAAGGCCTTGGGCCAATCTTTATAGTACAGAGCCCGACAGAAATATGCACAACAAGAGACAAGGTGCGACATCAGAGTGTGAACACTTGTTCACCAGCTTCTTTACATGATCCTTTGTTGGTTTGTTGGTTGGTTCGTTCGTTTGTTTGTTCTCCGCCTGCCAGGTGAGGGTTAGATTTTGTCAGAACTGTCCTCTCCTCTCCTCCTTGCCTTCTCCTCCACAAGTACCAGATCGCAGTGGGCACCGCCGGACTCAACAGCGAGCGCTGGATCGCAGGGGGCACTGCCGGACCTCAACCACGAGGGATGGCCCCAACGACGAGTGCTAGATCGCAGTGGTCAGCACCAAACCCCAGATCGCTGTGATACCACTGTGACCTGAACCAGATAGAATGCCAGAATACATTCCCCATATGCCAGATAGATCTTCAGAGTGCCACAAGAATGTCTGAAGTATGCCACATAGAAGGCCGGAATTTATGCAAAGTAGAGTGCCAGAACATATGCCAGAATGTGAGCCCGATAGAATGCCAGAATCAGAATATGCCAATAGAGTGTCAATAGAGTGCCAATAGAGTGCAAGAATATATGCCCCATAGACAGCAAACATTAGAAATGCCAGATAGAGCCAGATAGAACGCCCGAAACTTGCAATGCTGTGTATGCAAGATAGATGTTGAAGCAGTAAGGCCCCCGCTTATCGATGAAGTATAATGCCATGGTGGGGGTCGCCCTAAGTAAAGCAGATTTTGGTTGGAGGCTTGGCCAGACGCGTCGTACTCTTGACATACATGCGTTGTGTGGTGGGCAATGAATTTTGCAGATGACACGGCCAACGCTGTCGTGTATCGCGTCATGCTTGGCAGCAGCCAAGCAGCAATCGTGGCGGTTGCTGTTTGAGGCAAGTTTCATCCATCACATCAACGCGGATGTGGGCCTCGTTGGACTGCAGGTGACGTCGGAGGTGGTCAACCCGCGCTTTGGTTTTAAATTATGTCTCGGCATGGTCAAAAACATGGGCAACTGGGAAGGCGCGTGGTCCCAGGTGCCTTGATGTTGAGAGAGCGCAGCCCCAAGCTGTTGAGCGCAATTTCGCGCAATGCAATACTGCCCGCCAAAATTGATGAATTCTCGTAGTTCCCACCGTTCCTGTCCAATATTGGTTGAACATACATTTTCATCAGCCCCGAGACCAAGCATGAACGAATCATGATTGTGTGTATTTTCCTTTTGTTTTCTCTATACATCCTTTACTCTTTGGCATCTCGCAATGAAACCTGCCCAGGTTGCCTCAAGTGATTGTGCTCAATTCCATGGACCTTTCGATCCGAGAGCGGGACATCACGGGTGAAAACATTTTCCACTTGAAGGGGAACGCCACTTCAGGCGGGACCGGCATTAGACATATCAACTATATACCTGTCAATGCGGTTCTGTGGGGGGTCTGAATCAGCTTTGTTTGATGATTTGACACTTTGGTTTATTCCTTAGAGAGGGTTTGCATATATTCAGAGCGCCCAAGAATCCTTGCAGGAATGCCTTCAGAGATTCTGGGGTTCCCGATTTGATGGTGCTTTCTTCTTTTGTAGGCCTTGGTGGCCAGCGATTGCCGCCTGGAGCTTCCAGATTTCATCTTTCCCTCAGTGGTTCTTCTCAATTAGTGGGACGCCTGCATCCGCTTTTGGGCTTGGGGATTCAGTGGATGAATGGAGGCAGTATGAGGTGGTCAATCTTTTGGGATTTTGGCGAATGGACGACATGGGCCTCATCCAAGGTGGTCATCTAAGCCGCTTAAACGAAATCAGACCGCATGGGATGACATGAGTGTGTCTCCAACGTGGGATCTGGTAAGCAAATAGCAGATACGTGCGACAGCCTTCAGTTGACCTATGTCGAATTCTAGCTCTAAGACCTTCACTGACAGATCGGGAGATGGCCTCCGTTTTTAAGGCACATTGGATGCGAATTTGAAGGACCTCCTTTTGATTGGCCGATTGAACCTTGCCTTCACTGTGCCAATGCTTCAAGCATAAGCCAAGCCGTGACGCACATGTTGAAGGCCTAGACTCGTCCAGGCCTTTCTGGACTCATTTCTTCCTGGACTCCGGGCGCCGCCCAAGTTCCAAGCCAGCTGAGGATTGAGGATGCAGTGGATGGAGCTTTGGTGGTGGGTGTGTTGGGCCCTCTCTCCATCACCATCCGCCCGGACTTCAACTTGCAGCTGGGCTTGGCATCGCATCGTCCGCCGGTCCGAGGGTTGTGACCGAACTGTTCCGTCTTCGATGTGGCAGGGCGGTGAGGTGGCGATCGCAGCGTCAAAGGTATTGAGGTCGCGATCGGTCCTTTTTGAAGGGATAGGACGTTTGAGTAGACACCAGCGTTTTCACGTGAAAGCAAAGGAGACAGACAGACAGCCAGCCAGCCAGGCAGGCAGGCAGACAGACGGGTTTCGGACGTCGTTTTGACCTGAGATGACCTGAGGACCGTGCAATACGCTGCCAATGGCGTGACTGCAAAGCTTTCTTGTTTGGTCGTTTGCGGCTCCGCCCACAGTGTCCTAAATCCAGGCACTTGGTTTCGCACGCCTGAGAGCTAGATGGATCATCCTTGTGCTGGACCCCTGGCGACCAGCTCTGGAAGCAGGCAGAATCGGAGTGTGGAGCTTTGCACGCCACTTGCCTGGCCGCAGCTTCGCAGGTGGAAAAGATGTGCGCTCTTGGAAGCTTACACCTGTTTGGAGAGCTTCTCTGGAAAGAGGGCTTGCTCAAGATAGGTGTTTTTTGTGCAAATCTTCTCCATGTTCACCTTGACTCCAGCAAGTCTCTGAGGGCTTAACGGCTTAAAGCGTGTGTTGATGATCAGCGTGGGGAGATGATCAGCGTCTGCCGAGGCAGTGCTTCTTCGTGGCTCTGGTTTGGCAGACACTTCGTGAAGGCGTGAGCGCGGGGACTAGGGGCGTCTCATCCTGTTGGGCTTGAATAGAGATAGTGGTTGGGACGCGGCTGGGACAATCGAAACCCTGACTTGGAGTGTAGAACGTGGAAAGATTGGTACACGTTTTTGGATGTTTTTGGAGCGTACAGCACAAGGTTCATGGGCATGGCATGGGCGAGTTGCTAATTTCCCACATAAATCACATCATGATAGGCGTCCACATGTGAATTAGGTGACGGTGCAAGCTTTGAGACAAGCAGTGCCTCAATATCGAGACTTGGGGTGTTTTGTCAAGACGTCTATACTTTTCATTCTTGCAATGCTCACGTGGGGCACCAGGTTGGACGCACACACACACAGCTGATGTTGCCTACCAGGCAGCAGGCCTTTTCTTTGGTCAGTTGCGCAGCACAGAGAAGGAACAGACACAGAGAGATACTGGCGATGCAGGGAAGCCGCCCCGCGTGCCGCGGGGAACGGCAAAGTGAAAAAAACGTTTTGACTCGGTCGGAGAGACTGGCTCGTTTTGCTTTGGCAAACATCTGATCCCGCCGTCTTCTCTGCTTTTCGCCCACGCGCGGACTGGAATGCTGCGAGCTGCGAGTTGCGGAGAGGTGTGGCACCTGCCGGAAGGTCCCGCGACCGTGGCCGACCGGCTTCCGTAATGCGTCACAGGCGTAGGTCAAACATGGTCAAAACATCAGATGCAGCCTTCTGGGTTTGTGAACTGGAAAGTCCTCCGGAGCTGATGACTCAGTCGTTGTTTGTGGCGAGACGGTAGGTTCAGTGGGAGGTCATGAGTTGAGAGATCAGAAGTCAGAAGCAAACAACATCTCACCAATCCGGCCTCAAAACATCCTGCTCACCAAGCACTAACATCAGGGAAGCATTTTGGCTCTCTCGTGCCACGCAAGCAGACCGCGGCGGTGCCAAAATGAGCGGCCGCAGCCAGGGCCGAGCACGGCGTTCGAAGTCAGTCAGGCTTGAATGAGATGGGTCGAGAACATCCGACTCTTCTGATTGATTTATAATGATTTATATAGATCCTAGATGAAAATATGATTCCCGATTAGAGAACATGTGCCGTCTGGTTCATTTTTGACCTTGTTTTTGGAATGGATGTCAGTCCTGGATTGATTTGATGAAGGTCAAAGCCTGGGCCTAGTTTTGAGCATATCAATGGCAAGAGGCCCAGAATTTCGCAGCTCTTGATGGTAGGCACTTGACCTCGGAAGACTACACTGCTGGTCAAGCGGGCTCGATGATTGTAGCCAGATATCCTCCTCATGGCGGGCCAGAACCAGTTCTCTGGCAGGTTCATCTGGGTGTGGAGCTGTCGCTGTGGTCCAAAAACACCATGCCAAACCCATATGAGAGATGTGGGAGGCATGCACACACACATACATAAATAGATATAGATATAGATACTGTGAAATGACAAAGGAGTTGTGAACAATACATACTGTTTTTCATTTTTTGCGGCTAAGTCATGAGTTTTTGCCCTAGGGTCACAGAGTCCTATGTCATGAAGCGAAGGTTTGAAGAAACAACATCAACATCAGAGAGGTCAGAGGTTGTCACCGACGATCTGTCAGAGGTTGTCGCCAAACTGGCCTATGTCATGAACGTTTGCCACTGAAATGGCAAATTTCACACCTCTACATGACTTAGGACTTTCCCTGGAAAAAAGTTGTATGTCATATCGGGCCACTTTGGCTAAGTCATTTGACCCCAGTATATATCACAATAATAAAAGTATATGTATGTTTTGTGTTGAAAGTAGAAGATAACACACATAGCAACAATGAAAGGTAAGGCCTTATATACCTTCCCTTTTATATATTTGTCATTCGATTTTCTGTACAGGAATGTCTCTTGGCTCGACCTCCGGGGATCCCACCTCTGGCCCCTGCAGGTGGATCGCACCCGGTGCCCGCATCTGGAGCCCTTGCTTGGAGGAGGCTCCTTCTGTTTGGTCTCTGGTGCCGGGCATCTGACGATTCAAAAAGGAGAGCACATCGAGGAGCTTCAGCTCAATGCCGATCAGCACGAGGTCCATGTGTTGCAGTCAGGCGGGAATCCCCAGATAGGACTCGCGCAGTGCTTTTCTTTGATGTTTGATTGTGATAGGTCGTGATCCAGCTCAAACAAGCCTAGGGCTTCTAGAACCTTTGGGCGGTGGAGTGCCACTGGTCCCCTCAGCAAATGAGGTGCATTTTATGAAGTGGTCCCTGCGCCGGAGATGGAGGCGCAGCCTGGGTCATGCGATGTGCCAATTTCTTGGTTGGACGAGACAATAAGAGGAGAAGGATGAAAACAGCCAGAGAAACCAATGACAAAGCCTTCCTGAATCTGTGGCTTATGGGTAGGTGATTTGGTTCGAGGGAAGGCATGCGGTACGCCACTTGTGTCTCCTTGTGTCTCCTTGCATTCATCCATTCCAATGGCATTGTTTGAAGGGTTAGCCGCACAGCCCATTTCTCCCAGAGCTTCAAGCCGTTCCAGAGGTCTTGAGCCTGTCAGCCTCGCCCTCGATCCAGCACAACATGCGAATCTTCAGCCTCTTCAAAGAGGAGATGGTTGTGGTGGGCGAGGCGGAATCGCTACTAGCAGCTGACCTGAACATTTGGACCGTCGCCAACGTATCAAAAGGGGCCTTGACTGACCAGAAACTACAAAAAGGACGGCACGGCAAAGCTCTGAGGAGAGCAAGCCCGATGGATCCCGATGGTACTTATGGCAAATTTAGGCTTGCTTATATAAGTAAAATTAGAACACTAGGCATCAGCTGGCCTTTCCCAAGACTGTCCCAAGACTGTTCTTCAAAGGTTTAACAGTAGAACTGGGTTGTGGCCCCACCCTGCTCAAACCACCTGTGTTTACAACCTCATCCTTTTTCTGTGAATTTTCCCGCGCTCAGCTAGGTCCTTTATGGTGTACTTGGGACCTCTACTGCATATTTCCCACGTTTATTGAAGCTTGGGCAGCAGATGTGTCTTTGCCCCGACTGCCGTGCCGATGGTGGTGGTGACGGGTGACTCGTCGTGGTGGGAGCTTAGTATTTTAAATGCATATTGAACATACCAGGACCTTCCAAGGCGTGCCCAATGGAAGCCCCTACGCCACTAAGGGACCTCCATTGGACACCCCTTGAAGGTCCAGGTATATAGTCTCAATTGACCGATTTCTATGAAGTTGCCTTGGCGCAGTCAAAAGCGCTCGCCGAGGTTTAAGTTGAGAGAAGGGGAAACCTTAATGATGCACCCTGGCGACAGTATCGGCGTCGTGGCGGTTGATGGCCCTGCCAAGCTGGTTGCGATCTCGATTTGGACGAGGCAGAAGCCCAATCCTCGGCTCTGAGTTGATCATTCGAAGGAGCCGGACGGACCTCGACGCCGGGGCGTTTTCGACCATGGAACGGCCTCCCGGAACCTCCAATCGACCGTTTCCGGCCGTCCCCCGGACTCCACCGGGGCATCGCTTTGGGATGGCAGACATGGGCCTGCCACCACCGGAGTATGACGGGCACGTGCCCGTGGAGGGCCGGTGGGTGAGAAGCGGCAGAGATCCGCAGGATGGACGGCCCCACGGGTGAGATCCGCTGGCGCCCAAATGGGCGGGACCACTCTGGTGGAGGTTCGAGGTGTTGAAGGAGAAGCCTTCCGGACATGGAGAGGATAGACTCGGATAGACCACCCTTAGTTGCAACAAGTCAACATTCTGCCGCACTGATCCACGTCTCACACTTCCTCACACTCTCCCGGAGTGATGGAGAGGATTGCTTGTGGCCCGACGTCGTGCTAACACGACGAGACGTCGCACCACAGCGGGGGGTGTTTGAGAACCGCTCAAGCTGTAGAACATGCATCACAGATTGGGAAAATACAGCTGCTGCGATTCGGTCTTTTCTCTTCCTTTGTCTTCTTTCCTCCGAAGCTGTTACATCCAAATAAGCCCTCAACGCCTTAGCTGGTCAGGCTGCGACATCAGAGCCTTTTCTGTGGAGTAGGCTGGGCGCCAACGAAGACAGTCTGAAGCTCAGCCAGCTGTGCGGAGGTCTCGATCTGACGAACCAGGACTTACGCATCTCGTGTCGCGGCTGCTGGCATGAGAGGAGGCTCATAGCACCTGGACAACTTGCTCTTAGGACAGTGCCAGGCCCCCCATCTCTTCACTAATCAGGATGTAACAAACCCCTGTGTGTCAACAACTCGAAAGGAGCCACGATTTCGGCACTTGCTGCCTGGAAGCAGCTGCAAGTGCGGCACTTTTCAGCACTTTGAGCAACAGTCACGATGACAACTGATGACATTCATTCCGCCACTCCGATGTTCACCAGCATGTGCTTGTTGTGGGTGCCATGGACCACTATCGTACCCTAGAGGTGGAGCCTTCTGCGGGGGATTCTCAGCTATGGAGCGCCTACCGGCGGAAGGCGTTGGCGACCCATCCGGATAAGGGCGGCTCCTCAGAGGCTTTCAGAGCTGTGGTGACTGCATTCGATGTTCGGAACGTGAATCAGCAAGTTTTTGTTGGGCTCAGGCTTAGGCACAAGCAGTTATATTGGCAATGATGTTGCTAAAGGAGGCCAGTGTTTGACCTTTGACTCATTGTTGATTGGTCCTGGTGGACACGGTAGACACTCTTGTGTTTATACAAAAGTCTTAGTCACAAGTCAACCGAGCCTTCGATGATGCATGAGGGCAGCCAGGCCACCCACCGAGCCCACAGGATGGAAAATACTGGGAAGTCGGACGATAGGAAGGCGTTTTGGAACCCTTCGGAACCCTTTGAGGTCCCTTTAATGAACATTGCCTCAAACACCTTCTAGATGTTCTCCGCTTGCGGCGCTTGAACTTCGCTCTCAGGAGACCTTGATCGATGCCGCCCGCCGCGCCGCCTACGACCAGCTGCGCGCGGTTCCGGCTCCGCCGGCGTTTCCGGCGGCGCCCGTGGTGCCGCGGCGCCGGTCCGCGGCGCGGGCGGGCGAGGTGCCGCGGCGAGCGAAGGAAGCATGGGCTTCAGGGCCAAAGGAAGCCCAAAAGCCGGAAGCAGAGGATGCTGAAGACATCAGTGCCAAGCCTGCCAAGCATCAGGAACTCTTGAAGAAGCTCTTGAAAAAGACTCGAAAGGAGATGTTCTCCGAACTTCAAGCGCTGAGTGAGGAGGCTCTCCGGGCTTTTGCCTCCTTTTTGGAGTCTTGGAACTTGGTTAAGAGGACTCCTGTCTTTCCTTTTGCAGGAGATTTCCTCGCATGCCTCAAAACTTTGAGTTTCTCCAGGCAGCGATAGCTGTAGGGGTTCTTACTTCTCAATGACTGGGTGCCTATATTCCGTTTTGGTTTGCCGCTGCTGTGTGCGGCTGCTGTGCCGCTGCTGCTTTGTCTCCCCACTTGTCTCCTTACATGTCTCCCCACTTGTCCCACTGGCTCCCTGGGCTAAAGAGGAAAAGATAACTTCCGATTGAGTTTGTTGCTATCTGGCGACTATGCCGGTGTCATTTTTTTGGGGACCCTCCTGAAGAAGTCAACTGATTGAATTACGCCAGTGGGAGCTGGATCTTGGGGACCATCCGTTCATTGCTTGGGACCGAGCTTGTCATGAAAAAGCCTTGCAGCCTGCTGGCTGAGATCTCCCCACCACTTCGATTCCGAGCCGCAGTTTTGCATGGATTTTCTTGGAGGAAGTGGGCGAACGATGCCCAAAAAACACGGAGCTTTTTCGCTGAGGAGTCGGACCTGGAGCTGGTTGAGCAGACGCTGGAGGGCATGATTGGCCTGCGGCTTACCCTGAAGAATCAGCAGATGGTCAAGCCGCCGACCGTGAGACCAAAGAAGGACCAGTCCTGTTGTTTTTAAAGACGGGCTCTTTTTGGCCTTCTATTGATGGAATCCGAGCACCACTTTTTCACTGATGAACGCGTCACAGCTGTGCACGGCAGGGACATGAAGAACGGACACCCTTTGAAGAACGCTGGCAAAACTTGATGCTGTGGGGCGTTCTTCCCTGCCGTTCAACCCCGTTGGCCCGCTGCTGCAAGGCCAAGAAGAAGAAGGCGACTTCGGTTGCAGAAGGGCGGCCACTGCGGACTCGCAAGACGGGGCGCAACTTGCTGAAGGGCGTGAGCTGCAATCGACGTGCGGCTCGACGTGGCACTGTCGTTCGTCGTTCGTTCCAGTCACTTCTCGCGGAGCCGAACATGTCGACGATACACGATCCGAAACACGATCCGCACGGAGCAGGCGGATGGCAGGGGCGAAGCAGGTTTTTCATGCAACATTGCCATTTCAGGTCTATGCCAGTTTTTCATTTATATATGTGTATACATTCATAAGTATGAAGAACAAGTGAACGTGACGGTGAGATCAGACGACTTGTTGCGTTCCAGTCATCTAAGACCATTGAGCTTGTTGCGTCAGACCAGAGCCAAGGATGGGTCATACCAGGCCAGGATTTCCTTCAACAATTTCACGATCGGCACACAATACGTCAAGAGCTGCCCGGCCTGGCTTGGATTTTTGACCCGTGATCTATGCAAGGGCTGCAACGGGGCACCTTCATTTTTTAGGCTATGAACACCTTTTGTGTGGAACGTTCATCCATGAAAACAGGCGCAATTGGAGATCGAAATGGCTCACAGTTTGATCGTTTTCCGAACCTGCGGAGGCTTCGCTTTTGTGCCAGGGGACAGTTTTCGAGTGACATAGATGCGGGAGGTGTGAACGGACGCGCGCCTTTTGCAGTTGCGACCCAGCCGCTGGACCCGCGCGCGCGCTGTGCGCGCGTGTGGCTGGTGGCGCCTTCCGGACCGCAGCCGTGTCCTCATGAGGTCTGGATGCAGCCGTGGACATGCACATTTGTTTGGTCCAGATGCGACGAACGGCCATGGGGAACATCTGAGCCGGTGCTGGGAAAGACTTTCCGGAGATCATGCGTGAGGCCATCAAGAGCATTGAAGAAGAGAGGGCTGCTACAGGCACCGCAAGCGGCAGATTCCTTTGCTTTGAAGAGGGTGGCCAAGTTTGTGGATCTTTAGTTTCCCTGCGTGAATGTTCCAAGAGTTCATGCCATTTGTATCCATTTGCGGTTGAACCCCTGATCGGCTACAATATTGGCAGGTGCTGCCGCCCTGCGATTGACCTTCCGCACTCACTATCGAAACAAATTTACCAAGTTTCAGCGTGATCTGGATGCTGTGATGAAAGCCTGGAGGGAAATGATGGATGAGAGAGAAGCTCAGATTTGTTTGGTCGTTCGGGTTGTGCCATGCACTTGCTGCGAGCTGACGGTGGCCTACCCTTTCTGCCAGGGCACAGGGTGTGCGGAGTTTGGGCACGCCTTTCTAAAGGGATATGTCTTTGGGCCTGGGTGGTGTCGGTACCTATCGGAGTAAGGCTGGGGGGTAGGCACTGTAGCACCCTGAAAAATTGCCGCAGACAAAGGGTGTGAAAGGAGGTGAGACTCAGGTTGCACAGTCCGAAGGCCTTGCCGTTCGAAGGACATCTGGACAAGACCGAAGACCTCGCGCCTGTCACTGAGGACAAGACTCAGGAAGGAAGAGCTCGTGACCTGGTCCCTCAGCTCAGTTGAGAGAGCTTTGGGCGAGCGAACAGTCACAGTGGGGCGAATTCACGCAGTTGGTGGACCAAGTGGGGCGTTGTACAACGATTCATGACAGTCATTTCAAGAAGCCTCGCTTTCTGGAGGTGTTTATGAAGCTGGAGGGCCCCTGCTACAAAGTAAGCTCTTGTTCAGTCACCGTAGACTTGTAGAATTATGGTCTTGAGAGGGTTCATGTTCCAGGTCTATGTCAGCGACCAGTAGTCGCGAAACCATTTCATGTATATATATATATATATCCCTCACACTGCTGGCTAACCCTTCACCTTCTTGTTTTTTCATTGATTTTTGTTTTCTCCAGCACTCGCTGATGTCCTCAACTCCAGCTTGCCGTCACCGCCCAGGCCGCGAAGGCGGCGGCGGAGGAACAGCGGAGAGCCCAACGCGCGGAGCGGCAACGGCGGCGCTTCGAAGCGCGCGAGGCCCAACGGCGCCTCGACGAGGCGGACGAGCGTCACGTGGGGAATGGCAGGGGCACGGGAGGGCAGGGCAGACATTGGATTGAGATCTGATGAATCTGACGATCTGGATGATGTTACTAGTAGCCTCCTTGTATCTCCTTGTTACTCGTAGTAAGAATTAGTAGTAATTTAGTAATGAGCCCTTTGTTACTAGTAGCGATGCCCTTGCTAGTAGCTTCTTGTTACTTCATTGAACCCAACGCACGCACCGAGGAGACTGCGGCAAGAAAGTGGTGCCAAGCGACGTGAAGAGCTCCGTGCCCGGCGCCGAAGAGCGGTGCTGGCCAGGCTGGCACGTTTCTGGTCGGCAGTGGGGCCCAGATGGATCCTGGCTGGGCGCCCGTGGGCGGACGAGGATGGCAAGTCGTCTCACCGGGCGGGCTGGGCGAGGGTGGGGAAGAACATCCGAACATCCACAGAAAAGCACGTGCGAAAGATGGCATGGAAGAGGACGAGGATAACATGTACACTGTGCCATCCTTCACCACATAAGTTTGAGGTTTGACAGTTGCTGACATGAGAAGAGCTGAGTGCTTTGAGGTTTGAAGAGCTTGGTGTCAAAGCTGATGAACCACTACGAGAAGTCTCGACGACGGCGGCTGTTGAGCACCTGGGGAGTTCCAGAGCTACCGGAAGGTTTGCCACTCACCTGAGGTTCCGGAAATGATAGATGTCTACAATAGATAGTTCAACAGACGCATACAGCATAATTACATTGTTACATTGTACACATCCACCTATTCATCCACACACCCATCCCATCCATCCACCCATCCCATCCATCCACCCATAGCCAGCCGCCCAGCCAGCCAGCCATCCACCCATCCCTCTTCCCGTCCATGCACGAATCCACCCAGCCAGCCACACGATATATATATATATATATCATCGTGTTACACACATATATATATATATGTCGAAACACCGGTAGCCGACCGACTCCAGTCGATCGAAAACCCATCGGGCGATCCTTTTCAGCTCCAGCCGATGAATGTCCCTGCGGATACGACGATCGATATGCTTGCACCTGGAAGGAAGACATGGTTGCGGCACTCATGGAAGTCAACACGGCTTTTAAACTATAAAAAGTTCGAACCAAGGCTTCTTTTGACAAGGCTTCGACTCTTACGAATTGAATCTCTACTTATAGGTGCGAGGCACATCGGTGCCGGGGATCTTTGGTCCCTCCCAAGCGGCATCTTCTGCTGCATCACGTTCGGCGATGAAACGGCCCAAATAATTTGAAAGATCAAGCAACAGGCCTGACGCTGATCGCTGACGTGCCGTTACCCACTTTACATATGACTTGGCTCGGTCTTCGGGTGAGCATGCCAAATCATGGTAAGTCATGTTCAAACCTTTGTACTGTCCGAACTGGATGACAGTGCGACCCCATTGGTGCATGTCCATCACATCCGGAGGCAACGTTGGCAGCATACTTGAGCTCAAATCTGAACCTGGCATCGGAGGTGGAATTCCTTCGGTGGCAGCATAGGATCCTTCCATGGAACCTGAGTCCTTGAACTTGGGATGTGCTGATGGACCATATCCACGTTCCTTCTTCGGTTGCGGCGAGGCTGCTGACAACTCCTCTCGACGTTTGGAGGCGTCAGTCATCGATCCTTCAGGTCTGGGTCAGCAGCTCCGGAAGCAATACCTGGTGCATCGATTGGCAGGGATGGCATCACCTGGTCTGACGACGCCTTGGCCATCAGATAGCGAAGCTGTGCTGCTTCATCGGGAGTGAGCGGCATTTCGGTATGCCTTTCAAGAAACAAATGCGGCGCGTGCTCTTGATCACAAAAGGCTAAAATAGAAAACGACTAGTGAGCAGGACAACAGCTAAGGCTGTCACCCTGTCCCTGGTCTGAATGAGGAACTTCTTTCAAGACCGATCACAGCAAAAAAATTTGACAACACACTCGAAACATTGTGACACGGCTGCATGCTATGACAAAACTGCTCAGCTATTTACTGATGCAAGAAAACGTATAACACAAGAGCTTCAAGACACAGTATTCCCTGTAGTCTACCGATGACTACCTTTCTTACTGCAAACTCTATGCTCTCAAACAACAACTATAGTTGCACTGAATTATCCATGACGTCGGCTTTCAAGCTTTTCCTTCGTTCGCGTTCTTCAGCTTGTTGTCTGAGAACCGTGTCCTCTGGAGAAATCTGATATGCCCCTTGACGGACACAGGATCGAAGCAAGTCAATTGGCTCTTGGCTGTCTTTGGTCAAGCCATCTGCCAACATCCACTTCGTGGGAAGCCATCGAATGCTACCTCCTGTCAACTGAAGAGATTCCCGAAGTATCACTATATCAATACATGTTCTTCGATCTTCTATTGACGTTGGTGATGAGGGGGAAATCAGGTGGTCATACAATGACTTACAATCTGTGGCCAGGATGGGTGATCGTTTCAATACAAGGACTGGTGGTCTCTTCTGCAACAGGTCTCGTGCGTCTCTTGCCTTGAAAGGGCCATCCAAGGTCTCTGAAAGGAGGAGTGACAGCCATTCTGCCGTTCCACTGGCAGTTGACATGGCTTGGCTTTCACCTCCTAAGGTGGAACTCAGGACCCTTGGCAACTTATAGCTTTTCCAAGCCACTGGCGTCCATGGAGACACCTTGCCGTCATGCAACTTCTTATGAACAAAAGCCAAAACATAACCAGCTTGTGTGTGGCTACCTACGTTGGCGAACGCTGCATCGCTATGACAGCATATTGTCAGGGACTCAGGTTCAATGGATCTAAAACGAATTTTGAGGTCCTTGAATTGTTTGGCCCTTCGAATAGTGTTGTTCGCACTTCTGAGATGTTGGATGGTCGGTTTAGGTAGGCCCTGTTGACACATGCTTGTTTGGCATGACAAGTCGGGACGGCTTTGCGATGACAACCAGTTAAGGCTACCGTTGATTGCTCGGAGGACCCTAATTTGTTGTTCATTGAGCAACTGATTGGAGGAAACACCTTTGGGGATGTGAGCTGGTCTCAAACCCTCTGCAAAACTTGCCTGTGACATCTCAATGTCAAACGTCTTTGGGCATTGATCATACATGGCACCACAAAATTCACCATTGGATATCCTCCACTTCCGGTATGGGAACCTGGCTTTCAGTTTCTCTAAGGACTTTTCAAACAGGGGTCCCTCACCTCCTACTGCGGTGTCGTCGACATGAACGCCGAGCACTCCCAGCATTCCTACTGACACATTGAACTCACAGGAGCGTGTCGGTTTGGCAGGCAATGGCACATGTGGTCGAACTTGGGACTTGCACAGGTCGCATTCCAACGTCTTGGCCATCTCAATGGCTTTGTCGGACGCAGATCCATGTCGGAGGATGCGAACCAGATCTTTAGTGCTACAGTGGCCGAGATTCTTGTGCAGTGGATGCAGGGCTCGTTTGATGGCTTCTTCATCCTCCCCTTGGATCTCTTCACGACTCACAAGTACTTCATGAACTTCCATGGGGCAATCATGCCTAATCTGCACGAGGTGCACCTGTTGGGCACGTTCAAAGGCCGGCACGGTCTTCAGAACAGCTTGTACAAATGCCGGTGTGTATTGTGCAACATATTGGCTAATCGATCCCACTTCAGCATGTGTTCCCGCCACCACGTCGTGACAAGTGTGATGGGGGTCTCTCTTTCCAGGACACGTGAGGCCTAGGGTTGTCATTGATTGATGACTCACAAGCAACCTGGTGGCCTTTCGGATGTATTGTTTGCTGTGGGGAAGTCTTAACCCAAACCTACACATGTGGCACTTGACATGGAAGTACTTGTTCAACAAACATTGCATCTCTTCATAGGTCCATGTCTTAGCTCCTAATGGATGTTCGAACAAGGCTTGTTTCCCGGCCTGTACTTGTTGCTCAAACAGGTCGCAACAGTAGCGAATGAACAACCGACTCAATCGACGCTTTTTCAAATACTCCATTGGATCCATGGTACAAGCATTCAGGTTGAACCAACCACCTTCGTACGTACATGGAGGGCACAGTACCAAAAGATCTGGAGGATGCTGTTTGAGGAACTGTTTGGTTTCTTCTCGGCATTGGGCTTTTGAGAAATCATACCCGGTTTTGAGATCACATGACATGGCAAAACCGCCTACTGCTTCGATGGACGGAGCGAAACGAGGAGGGCTGAAAATCTCAGCCAACATGAAACGCTTCCCCTGCACAAAGGAGCCGACTCGACTTGGTGCCTGCTTGATTTGTGCCGTCAACTGTCGGCACACTTGAACTGGCAGGCTCTCGATCGTGTTGACGTGTTCCTGAGGCATAAACACGAAGTCGGTTCGAGTTCTGCGAACGTCTTGCGGCAAAGGTTGGGTATAATATCTCTTATCTTTGCTATGATCGATAGTTTGATCGCTCACTATCCTACCGGCGTCAAGATCATGGATGGTCCTGTGGATGACTGTGTGCCAAAAAGGGGCCTTTTTGCCCGTCACTGGCGTTAAGGTCAAACCTTCATCCACACGAGACCAAACAGACGACCCTGGATGTCCTGTGTCAGCGGAGTCTCGGGCCTGTTCTTCAAGATCTAAGGCGGTCTCTGGCATGGAAGGTGCGATTGTAGGCTCATGATCACAGCAACTGTTGGCTTCCTGAGAGGCCATAACTTCCGAGAACTGCACTTCCTTGCCCTTGATTTCCTCGGGCAAGACTCGAATCATGAACTGTCCAGCGGAATTGGTGTGGAGAGGCACCTGCACTGCATCGTCAAATATGGTCATGGTGCCTTGTCCGAAGGCCAGTGTTGCCTTGAGTTTCTGAAGAGCTGCACGCGAGATCAGCAATGGGGCTTGTCCTTGCACGATGGCTGCACGGATGGATCCAGACTTGCCAGCGATTCGAACTGGCATGGCCAGCGCCTCAGTGGAGGTCTCTTTTTCACCATTGCCATACCTGAAGTAGTTGATCTCAGGCTCAGGCTCAGGGCATGACATGCCGTGTTGCTGCCACATTTGCTTGAACTTGGCAAGTGTCTCACGGCCGACAATAGTGCGGCCGCATCCTGAATCGATCACCCCGAAACCAGGGCTTGAAACCAGCAGAGTTTCGTGCACGGTCCAATCAGGAATCGAGGAATCTGTTGCTCGCTTCGTGGAACGCAGGATGTCAAGCGGCGACCAACTTGCAAAATGCTGTGCCATAGCAACAAACTGCTCATCATCTTCTTGGACGGGTTGTACCAGGGCTGCACCAGTCTCTGAGGAGCCCTTCGAGGAAGAGGACTGCTTGCCTTTGCCTTTTCCTTTTCGACATTCCTTGGACCAGTGTCCCAATGTCCACAGCGATGGCAGCGTGTCTTTTTCTTCAACTCTTCAACTTCTACACGAAAACTTCTTCTGAGCTCATTGGACTTGGCGGCATTCGAAGAAAAGTTGCGAGCTTTCTGCAACCTCGACAGCTCTTGCCGTCGATCTTTCCAGCTGATCGCCAATGCTTCTGCGACCTCGGCCTCTTCATAGACTTCTTCTTCAAGAGCCTCGTCTTGCTGATACTCAGCAAGAAATTGTTCCACATCGTTGAAGTCGTCGACGAGGTCGGAGATCTCAGAAACGGGCTCTCCTACGATGGATTCTTCCAGCATTGCAACGCCAGCTATGTGCTTCTTCTTCATCACGAACTCGGGGTAGCAGCTGCGCATTGCTTTGCCGATCTCCTCTCGCTTCATGACCCCTAAGGATCGAGCGACGACCACAGCTTTTTGTTCGTCGTTGAGCCCACTCCTGTGGAGGATCAGCCATCCTCGAGCCTCCTCAGGAAACGTGACATTCGTTTTGCGAGCGCATCGATCGAACAACTCAGTGGCACGGCTAATCCAGGCTTTGAGTGTTTCACCTTCGGCGGCGCAAAGATTGAAGATCTCGGTCAGCACCTCCGACATCTCATCGGTGACTTCTTTCTGAGGGAATCGCTGATCCAGAAGATCGAACAGAACTTTCTCACCGCCTTCTTTCTGGAATGCGCTAGGATCCAGGTGTTCTACACACTCCAAAGCCTTGCCACTCAAGAGAGTGAAAACATAGGCCCCTCGGGCCTCCTTCAACATTTTGTCCAGCGTCGTCATCTTCGACTGGACCCATGCTTTCCACCGACGGTAGTCCTTGTGGTCTTCGGACTCGCCAGAGAAAAACTTCAGACCACCTTGGTCTTGACTTGCAGCGGCGCTCATGGCGGCGCCGAGTTCCTACTCGGAGCCTCGACCGTTTTGGCCGAGGCTCCGCTACCAATGTCGAAACACCGGTAGCCGACCGACTCCAGTCGATCGAAAACCCATCGGGCGATCCTTTTCAGCTCCAGCCGATGAATGTCCCTGCGGATACGACGATCGATATGCTTGCACCTGGAAGGAAGACATGGTTGCGGCGCCCATGGAAGTCAACATATAATATATATATATATACTATATTAGGGTTTGTATTTTTTGGTGTGTACTTCCTGATGTAGTTGTTGGAAGTTCGAGTTGAGCGATTCATACCCCCGAATCATACCCTCAAAAGGTAGGTGTAACAACTAGGTGTTTTAAGATGAAGCTTTTGGCTGGTCTTTGTGCCTTGTAGATGTCCATGAGCCAATGGTGCATGACGTTTGCAACCTTGTGTGACCCACGGGCACTCAATTTGACCAGAATTGTTTGTCTTCTTGTGGGACAAGCAAAGGCTCACATCCCAGGAGTACCAAATGTTCCCAGTAATGTTCCCATGTGCTCTCCCTAGGGAAGAAGGGCCAAGCAGCCAACGGACCGCCTTCTTTTGCAGAATCTGATGGCCATACCGAACCACACCCGATTCATGCCCAACTCACACCCGAATCACACGCCTCCACACAGCCCCCACCCATCCCACATCCCTAGTTGTTTCGCTGGGGCCTGCAGGGTGCGCACTGTAGTCAAGAGGGTCGTGCCTTTGGTGGGGCTTCTTGTGTTTGGTAGAAGAGTTGGATTTGCCTAGTCTGCCTAGCAACCATCAGATACTGCTTGCCTTCTGCCTCACGGCACGGATGTGGGCCCAGTGCTGGAAGTCCAGCCAATCCAACAATACAATTGCCGCGAATCATGCCCTCGAATCATACCTCCGAGTTTTACGCCGAACCATACCCCCGAATCATACCACCTATTCAAACTTCCTGGCCCGACTACGGTAAACAAGTACACTGTACACACTATAATTACTTAAGTTATATATACTTTTGCAATTGCACATGCCCCCACATAATACATACACCAGATGCACGCATCACATTCTACTTTCCAGATTTCATGTTCTGACTTCATTTTGCATTTTGAGACATGGCGGTCTTGAAGATTGATGGAAACAACCCATGGCTTCTGGCAGGTCCCATTACTTCCCGTAATAATCAGCATTGCCCAAATGGAAACTGTCACACTTGAGGAGCCAGGCAAAGGACCAGAGACAAAAAAAACAGGAACAGGCAAAGGACCAGGCAAAGGAACAGTATGTGTGTATAATATATATATATATATAAGAGAGCCAGCCGGCTAGGCTGAAGGGCAAAGAAAAAGTGCACCAGCAAAGGAGTGCCATTTTCTGGGACCTAGCCGGGTCTCCCCAAGCAGCTGTTTAAAAAATATGCTGAAAGACTATGTTTGCCCTGCTGTAAAGACCATCTACCTTTGCAAACTAGTGCACAGAAGGGCCGTCAGGCGCGGATGGCCTCACGCTCTCCACACGTTTGAAAAGGGCTGTCACCGCTGGCTTTCATCCCCTCCCTGTTCAGGTATATATACATATATTACATGGACTTGTTTGCTTTCTACCCTCGCAGCCCCCAATCGTTTCTCCCCAACATCCGTTTTGAGGCAACTGAGCAGCTTCCAGTCACCCGATGACACCCTCTGTGCTTTGCTGCGCCTTTCCGACGGGTCGGTGCGTCCTGGGCCGTATCGCACGAGCCTGGCGGCGGCCAAGAAGGACTTGGCGGAGCTGCGGCTGTGTCAAGCGCGGCGTGGAGATCAAGTGGCTGGGCGAAGAAAGGCATTATTGGATATATGTGGACATCATCTACTAAGGAGGCTGCTAGATGGATAGGAACCAACCTGGTGTGATTTTTGTGGGCGGTGAATTTTTCTTCTTACGTATGGCAGCGGCCTAGGCCATGTGTCAGGAGCTGGAACGCCGGGACGTTGACGCCATGAGCGCTTTCTTCGCACAAAGCCTGCGGGGCCTGCAATGACCCCCGCGTGTGATGCAGCATCTGCACAAGTCAGAGTGGTCCTCGAAATGGGGGGTTTTCCAGTGCAAGCGGCTGTCAAGCCAAGGCACAAGAAAATGTGGATGAGGCTGAAGGAAGTCTGTCACCTGTTTTCAGACGAAAATAGAAGAGAGGGCCATGAGCGACAGATCTGTCTCCCAACGAACGTTTTTTTTCCAAAAGTGTTTCACTAAATTATGTTGTACGAACTTTTAACAGGGGCATGCTGGCCTGGTGGGCCCGGATGGTGAAGCAGCACCCACCGAAAAGCCAACGGTTCTCGGGTTCGTCTGCGGCATCACCCAAACATGAGGTGCCGGTGGTTGCCCTGCGTTCAATCGTGAAACATGCTCCCGCCAATGCCCAAATTCTTCCAAACTGGGTTTGTTCCGCTTCCATGGTTGGAGCAAGGGTAGCCTCAGAGAGCTGTTCTTAGTTCGATAGGCCTTGGCGGGGGCGTCCTCAAGAAAGATTTGCATATAGTTCCCTGGAGGTCAGGTTGGCCATGATTTCGTGGCACCATACGTCTTGTACATCATATTTTCTTGGGCCAAATAGGCCAGCTTTCTCCATCTGCTAGTTCCCAAGCTCTGGAGCCCCCTGTCACGCCCAGGAACGAAGGCGATCCTCGCCCTCCAGGCCGCGACCGTTCGGGGAAACGTGCGAAAACGGGGAGGAAACGGATTCAGCTGCAACACCAACAGCCCGTGTACCTCGATTGCGGCCTAGATGGCTAGGCCACTTGGAGGGAAATACAACAAGTGACCGGGCATGTTCAATCCTTTTCCCAGGCTTCTAATAGACGGATTGGCGTCAGCCAGGCCCTCGAGCTTGAAAGGAGCACCCTACCAGTCCGACCACGGGTCATGGACGTCGTACGCAATTTTTGATCCATGTGCCACTGGGGGCTAGCGTGCAAGGAGAAGTGCATTGCAAATCAATTTTCTTACATGTTTGTGTGATACAGTTGATGGATCCTGCACCTTGTACGAATTAAGTATTCCTACTGTAGATGGATGAATTCATCAAACCTCTTAGCAGAAAGTCTTTTGCTCCCCCCAGTGCCAATGTTGATGTAGAAAAACGAAGAGCTTCGGCTCTAGGACGATACGCCCCAGGGTGTGTGTGTGCTTGCTGCGCTGAGAGTCGAGGAGGGTGTGTGGTGGGTTCCATACGCATCATATTACATCATCATGATGCATTCGGGAGCGGACACCTTTTGAGAGCGAGATTAGGAGGTGAGGTTGTTTTTTTCTCCCTTTGGCAGGCGAAAGGCTAGACAATGGTGGACGCAAACGCTCCCTCCATGGAATATTTCTGGATTCCAGGGCCTCTGGGACAGACAGACCAAGGTGGAAAACATCCAGACAGAACGCACCTTCTCCGAGATCCACCCGATGTCGACCGATGTTTGCCCCGTTGGGTGCTCGGTGTTCGCCCCCCAACCCCGACTCCGCCAGGCGGTGAACCCGGTGGGTCGGCCTCTGGAACGCGTGAGCCGAGCGTCATCCGCGTTCGAAACGGCTGAGATGGTGACGGAGTTTGGAGCCGGCCTCGGGAACAGGATTGGATCGGCAGCCCATGAGGTCAGATGATTGAACAAGCTGTCGGCGGTGTTGAGGTACAAAAAAACGGATGGTATCATGAAATTGGTCGAAAGGGTAGGCCAAGGTCGTAGGCCACACGTTTCATTCTCATCCGTTGGACCAGGTCTAGGAGTTCACATCTTCGGTTGCGACCGGTCTACTCGGCCGCCCGTGTTGCTGCCTTTGGTTCCAAATAGAGAGATCTCCCAAAATCACCGAGAGAGAGAGAGAGAGATCTCTTTCCCTTGTGGTGATGCGCGCCAGCCGCGATTGATCCGGTGCCCGCGGCATGCCGCTGGGCACCTCTAACACCAGGAGCTTCCAACAGAAAGACTGACCCCACCATGCAGGAATACCAGCAGCACAAGGCCAGACCTTGGCTCCAGGCTAATGTAGACTCTTGACAAATAACCCCACCAGTTGAAGTGGAACATCCTCTTCATATGCGGGGTTTTATTCATCTAAGAGTCTACATTGCTGGTTTGCAAACTTTGCAAACTCGCCCCATCTCTTGGAGATAGTTCCGGCACCGCAGAGCCAGCTGTGCTGTGCGGTGGTTAGAGACGCTGGCTGTAGTTGTACATGGTATTCTTTTTTCATGTGTGTCTGGGCAGCATCGTCGCTTTAGTGTAGGGGGGCTCCATTGTGGGGTCTGCTCTATATAAACTCGATCTCGGCTGCCCCGACACCACCTCCTGACCTCACGCGGTGCCATCAATCGATCCGTGCGGATGATCCGGGCAGTGTTTTCATCGCTCGCTGGCGTGTGCGTGCCCAAAAGTGGATCGAACACGTACATCCTGTTGAAGCTTGTAATTCCGCTTTTCAACCATGAATGCCATAGGCCGTAGGCCATAGATAATCATAGATTTAGCATCCCAGTGTCATTTCCAGAGTGGACTAGGGGTTTTACGGATCTATCTTGCCATGCCAGTAGGTCGTCAGTACGTTTGCCTGCAGCCGAAGCAAGCCACGGGTTTTTGGAACAGAGCAGATTGACAAAGGGGTTGTTCATGTCAAACCTTTGGATAAGGAGAGTGCGCCAGTGACATACATCCAAAACAATGACTGGGGCCTCCTAACACATGCCACGGCTATCTTGTGCACGCTTGCTTTGTAAAACCTTCTGGCAGGTACTCTTGGAAGGCGACCTTTTGGTGACCTTGGCTGGTCCGCCGCAGCAGCCTGTGGCAAAAGCTGCCATCCTTTCCTGAGAATGCCGGTGGTTTGGGGCAAGTTCAGTTCTTCTGACCACGGTTGAGAACGGAAATGGTTGCAAGTAGATGCCTTGTGTTCAATCCTGTTTGTGCAGGGATTTGCCATGTCGACCTATGATGGCCTTTGGTCAACAAGCACAACTCGGGGATGATTGCCATTACTCTTTCAATGGTGTGGATCCAATGGATCGTGAGAGTGGATCCAGTGGATCAGGAAATGTGTCGAAGCCATTTTCTGTGTGCTTTCAGCTGGCCGCCAGCTGTACAGCCACAGTTGCATACAATTGTTCGGCAATGGCCGGGGTCCCTTTCATTTGCCAGGGTTGTTCATGCACAATCCAAGGGTGCCAGCAGCAAAAACTGGAGAAACTATCCCAAATCCTTACTGTAAATTTGTTCACATCATTCCACTTGTGAGTGGAGACATCGAGCAAAGAAATCAACGCTTTCTTCCTGGGACAGCCATTGAGTCCTGGCTTCGGACGGGTAAAGATATTTGCATATATATATATATACTGTATATATATATATATACTGTATACATGTGTGAAATCAGATAGTTGAAAGTCCCATTGATGTGCTGGGACGGTGGCTCGAGGCTCACATGCCATTCTGAATTCATGACATGGCAACAACTCGATGCTCAAGCTGCTGTATGTAAGCCCATACCATGCCAACGAAACTTCCACGAGCACGAGGGTTTCGTGACAGACTCACACCCGACACCCGGAGTTGGAGTTGAACCCCTGTTGACTTCTTTACGTATAGCGCAGCCCGTCTTCAGCCCATATGTGGATCGGAAAATGACCAACCAACCAACAGACACTCGCCGATCCGTTTCCACACCCATGGCACGCAGTTCTGGCTGGTCATGGAAGAACTACGAGCGTCCTGGACTAATGCAGGACCGCAGTTCTGGCCTTCAACAGATGGCAGGTCCATGGGCATTCTGCCGAGGTCTCGGTGGTTCAAGGTGAAGCGTTGCGGTTTTCATGGCAGTTCACGAAAAGGCACGTTTGGAACGACTGGCAACAACCGGGGCCTCCAGAGTGTCGGACGTGGTTCCAACGAGGTTCAGCTTGACGGTTCGTGCCAGGATGAGATCGAGGAGGTGAAAGCTGCTTTCGACTTGTTCGACGTGGATGGCACGCAACGAATCAATCCCAAGGACGCTTTCGACGGGGAACTTGCATGCAACAAACGGAAAACAGGACCAGTTGGGACAAATTATGTGTAAACGGCTGTCAGCATTTGTTTTCTGAACGTCGTTTCTCTTTTTCCTCTCTCCGGTGCTCGCAAACTGGTTGCCAGTTTACATGCCATGCCCCTAAAATATAGGACGAACATCATGGAAAATGTGGGAGAACCTCTACCACCATGGTCACACCATGGTCACACCATCGGCCAAGCTAGGAAGTACCAAGGCTCCCGTGGGAATGCTTGTTCGTGTTTTGATGCTACCAACAGACGATGCTCCAAAAACGCCAGGGAGGCAGATGGAGGCTGTAGATGTGGACTGTTGATGAGTAAACCTCCATAAGCCTGGAGATGTAAAGATCATTCCCCTCCGTCCATGTGTATCTTGCGAGGCCGGCCACAATCCGCCATCAGTCGCCACGCGCCTCCGCGCCTCGTCAGGACCTACGTGCCTGCATTCAATCGCTGAATTTGCGGCGGAACCAGGCGGAGCTGCGGAGCGAGCCCTTGGACCGGGGGGACTGGGGGGGACTAAAGGTGGTACCCAGATGTGCGCGAGGAACGTCATGGTCCAACAGGTGACCAAAGTGTGAGCATTTTTTGCTTGTTTCTTTTTTTTTGGGGGGGTGAGTGTGTGAGTGTGTGTATGGTGATCGAGCAGGGTTCTGACTTGTAGTTGCGCTTGGGGAGTTTGCGGTTTGCGGTTTTGGGCAATCAAGCACCAGTGGCGGCCAGGAGCACCGTGGTCCCGCGTGATGGACGATCTTCCAAATCGTCGGGACTGACATTGGTGAACTCTTTCGTTTGGGGAGTTGCCCGAGTTCCAGGGCTTCACGGGCTTCACCCCACACAGATCGAGGGCTTTCGTGTCTCCTGAGCTTTGGGTTGTTTGTTGCAGGCCGTGTGCCAGATGTTTACTTCCGATTTCAGGCTGTATGCTCCTACGTATTGAATAGGCATGGGCACATGCAGTCTGCAATTATCTCGTGCAGATTCTGATTCTGCTTGCTGCTCTGCCAGCAGCGAAGAATGCCCCTGACAAAGCCGACGTCTCATCCGGGGGGGGGGCCATCCATCGCGGTCGGCCTTGGAGATGGATGCACCGCTAGGTGGTCCATCATTTGCTGAATGATTTGGAGCGCTTTGGGTCCAAGCCTTTGGACTTCAAGGGCTTCCTGGACATCATGACGGCCAAGATGGGGGAACGAGACACCAAAGAGGACAGACATGTATGGACTTCATTGGACTTCCGAGTGGGACATAAACCCAGCAGAAAGGTCGGATCCACCCAGCAGATGAGTTCCCAGACATGTTCTCAATGATGTTCTACCCTGGCCACCTCGATTTGGACATCGAGTGACTTCCTGAATCCTATGTGGGACATCGTGGGACACTGTGATCGCTGCGTTCCTTTGCGATGCGTCCTCCTTGCAGGTCTCGTTTCCCGAGGCCAAGCCTGGTGGACACTTCAAACCCGTTGTAGCCTCCAGACTCCAGACTTGGGCAGGTGGGCCGGGAAACCCACCCCTCAAGGCAAACAAGTCTCAAAATCACAAAAACGGTCTTGGAGTCTTGAAAGAGAGCCTTTACACTTTTGCTTTCCTCAAAGCTTAATTCTCCACCTCGGCAGGGGCACCAAACTCGATCTTGGACTGGTGGGCCTTGTGGGAAGGGGTCTCTTTACCGGTCCGTGGTGCACGAGGACGTGTCGAAGGTCTTCCGCTTGTTTGACGATGACCGCTCGGGCACCATCAGCCTGAAGAACTTGAAGAGAGTCGCTCGAGCCTTGGCCAGAAGATTCTGTTAGTTCTGTTGGAAGCTTGCGTGATCGGCCGGTTGTTATGGTGCCCCATCATAATACATTTGCATAGCACAAAAAAGGAATATGATGATGGTATATATATGATGGTTGCATTCAACAGGCCATGCTCAGCCATGATTGCTTGGGAACATGTTGCGGGGGCACCACTTCGACGGCATCCGAAGGGTCTCGGGAGGGCCGGTGCAGCGCCGCGGGATTGAGGCTCGGTCGACCGCTTGGAACCCCAGGTCGAGTTGGGATATCTTCTCTAGACACCCGCCACACACCTTTCTTTCCATCGTGTTTTCTTGCTGTTTTTTTGGACCCTTGAGACGAACACCATGTTTTTTGCCGTATATTTTGGAACTCCTGTACGCGCCCAACACGCCAAAGGCGAGAGCACCAGTTGTGTGACTCCAGCCCCAAGAGCACCTTGATCTGGTGGCCGTTCTTTGTTGAACAGAGACTAATGGAATGACCAGAGGTTACGCCCCAACCAGGTGTCTTACCGTTTATACGCGTGCCCGTGCGTGCGGCATGCTTTTGTGTCTGCACAGAGCCCGGAGGAGAGCTTGGGGAGCAGCTGCCAGCGGAGGCATTGGAGGAGATGATCTCGCGAGCTGACTCGGATGCAGATGGGGAGGCCTGGCTGAGGGTGTGACGAGATGTACTGCGGGAAGTGGCACCGGGTTGGTGCATGCATATACGTCCACATCAGCCCATCTTGTTTTCTTATTATTGCGGGGTGGCGTGTTGGTCATCGAGGAGTAGAGATTCAACATGATAAACTCCATGATAAACTCCGAAGATGTCAGGGTCAAGAAGACACAGAGAGAGAGAGAGAGAGGGAGAGAGAGTGTGATTCTTTCGACATTTTAGGATCACGCACCCTATATACCCATCTAATGCAATAGACCCAATAGACAACCAAACAACCCATCATGGATGAATCAATCAGATTGGATTGCCGTTGTCAAAGCAGAGTGCTTGAGGAACTGAAACTTCTAGGGGTAGATGTTGATTCATTGCAGGGTGCTCATGGAAGGGGATTTAACTTTGTAATATGTTCTCCGATCTTCGTTGCCAGGTGACGCTTGATGACTTCTACGTGCTCATGACTGAAAAGACGTTTCCCTACTAAGCACTAGCAGCCACGGGCTGTAAGTGGATGGATCGCCGCTAATTGAAGACATTGAGAGCTCTTGCACATACTGTAGATGAAAGTGCTCCTATCGTTTGAGTTTGAAAGGCATAAGGGGAAAACAGAATGAACAAGATATGTAAAGGGATTCGAGCACATACGAGCCAATTGTTATTTCCCATGGCCGCTGCGCGGGTTTGACAGTGACGGAATCCATCCAGCTTAATTAATTCGATGTGCTCGCAGTCTCATGCCAGGTCTCTGAGTGTGCGTGCTAACAGTGCACGTTAGCAGAGGTAATCACATGGGCGATTGCAGCAAAATCTGAGTTGTCATCAGCGATCCCACGAGAATTTGAAGACTTTGAAGAGATTCACGTAAAGCAACATCCATGCATTCATTGCTTGGGGAGTATATGCATCAGTTTGCTTCATAAGGTGTGATGAAGGTGGAGATGTACCATCTCAAACCTTTGGACCCCAAGTCTCTCCCTCTCTAAATGTGTATTATATATTACACATAAACACAAGCCAGCCAATACTACGTGGGACATCGTGGGACTTGAGCCAAGCTCCGAGAGCATGTCTCAGTCTCAGCTTGGTATGCCTGTTTGAGGCTTTAGTGCTTGCCTTTTGGCTCGAATGCAGGTTCTTTCAAACACTTCCACGCCCATGACTCGTGATTTCGGAGAAACGTTTAGCTACGACCTTCCAACCCCACTAATGATGGTGATCGGTGGGGCATGCGCGTCCATGCTATTTGGATCTATCCGGTAGTAAACATGATTCAACATGATCCAGGTTCTAAGACCTTGATGGTTGACACATTCAAACCACCACCATAAGGGTCCCCCAACTACAGCCTTGCTGGCTCCTGTATATCTTCTTGATTTGCGGCCGGGCAGTGTGGCGTGAAAAACGAGGCGGTCTGAACATTCTTTGGACCCGGACGACGGACTGCGTGTTTGGCTGGAATTGGGGCCACCTCTTACCCTGCCATGCTTGGGCAGATGCCTGGACAGGGTGTAGACTCTGGACTCCCACTATCTCAGAAACCCCTTCAATTTGCCCAGATTCAGCAAGTTTGCGACCCATCCGCAACACATCGCGCACAGCCTCAGCAACATGGCTTTGGTCTCAGTGATGGGGCCTGATAGGGTCCCAACGTTCCCAATGTGAACAGTAACAGGAACGCTCGGCTGACGGCCCATCCAGCTTGCCTCGGCACCAGCGGAGACCTCACCAGCCTTCAGGTGGTCCATGGCGCCCTATGACGAGGTGGATGCCGGCAGGTTATCGCATCAGGGGTGGCGTCGTCCAAAGCGTGGTGCCACCGGGGAGGAAGCGTGGTGCGTTGTCGCGCCGGCGGGCGAAGCTGGAGGAACTCCCAGACCGCGTTCGGTGGTTTTCCTCGTTCGCGACCAACGGCCGCCCAACCGGCCGCCCATCCACGAATCGTGAAGGGGCCATGGCAGCCATGGGCTTGGCATCTGGTGGAGCGGCAGGGAGAAATCTGTTGGTGCATTGGTCCTCGTGGGATTCTCGACATTCTAAGGAATAGGTACCTTGGACGACCGTGTTTGCCAGTTGCAGCATTCTCGCAAAGCGCATCCCTCTCCATGCTTTATCTCACAGTGGTTGTATGGCAGATTGGCGCCCCACAAATTGACAGCGGCAAGTGATCAGGGCCTTTTGTTTGAGGCTGGCCAAGGTGCAATGCAACAAGACCCCAGATAGTAGACCTACTGATGACTCAGTTAAGAACCAATGGCATATCAATGGCTTAGATGGCACGTGGGCCTCACGAAGGACACAGATTCGTAGTGTGGCCTGCTAGCTGGCAGCCAGCAGTCGACAGCCCGATGGAGGAGTTATGGCATTGACATGCGGTGAATGAAAGCACTTGAACCAGTCACAGGCGATTTGGCCTGCCGATGGCCCTGTCACAAGTGCTTCATAATGCTTCATATGTGCCAATGAGCTCTCGCTTCGCGCCGCAGACCCGTTGAGCCATCTTTAAAGTTGACAACTCTCGAACAGAAAGTCGCAACATAACACAGCACTGCACGATAATAGTCCAGGATTTGGCTGACCTGAATATTGATGTTCCTTCCTCGTCTGAACATCCCACTAAGAGATTTCAGATTCTTAAAATTTGTCGCTTGGCTAGCAATCACATTCTTTGGGCAGTGAGTTACGGTTATTTCAAGAAACATGAGGGGCAGATGTTGCCGCTTTCGGAGCATTGGATGATCACATGGCCGCCCTTTCATTTTTGACCTTGAATCTTTGGGGCTCCACTACGCCTCCGTTCCACCAGCATTCACACCACGTCGAAACGATCCGACGCCTGCGGTGCTTCGCCATGCGGACCGCATTGAGCGGTGGCTGAAGGGCAATTGGGGTGCCATGTTGGCACTCGTCAGGCCAGCGGGCGTCGAGCACCTTGGCTGCCTTTCCTAGATCTTGCAAGCAACATGTTTCGACTCCCTGGAAGCAATGCATCAACAACTCCTGTTGATGTACACGCCTTGTATGTTCAGGAGGGTCAAGACACAAAGAGTGTGGAGAGAAAGGCCTGTTGAGTGCAAAGACACCGCGCACCGAACAGCTGATTGTTTTGTGCACGGGGAAGTCATGAGAAGTGAGATGTGGGGCATACATATGCATACATACTCCTATCATCTTTGCGGGTCTTGGACTTTCTTGGATTCTTTGCTACGTTCGTAGCGTCCCGATGGCTCCGTTCGTGGTTTTCGGCCAAGGCCCTATCACCTGGGGCGACGACTCCGAGCCGTCGAAGCGGACCGCACAGAGGCCGGGTCCCCGTGAGTCGTGGGGATGAGAAGGATGAAGCGTTTGGCCTACAAGGGGACTGATGACCTTGTGGACCTTGGAGAAAGCATGATAAAGCAAAGTATATACTATACCCAACACTAACACCGATGGCAAAGGTTTTTACATGGGAGTGGATCCCCAAAATTAGCTTGCACAGGGTCCTATGTAGTCAGTAGTCCTGTGTTCCGTGAGGCGTTGCACATCTACGCCAATGAAACACGGAGATGGGTGTAGCTAGATTCAGAAGGGCCCAATCTGAATTTGACATCATTCCAGAATTTAGGCGCGGCCACCAGGAGCTGGGAAGGAGGAATGCTCGGACGGAAAGATCTGAAAAAAGCATGACATTACTCTTGAGACAACTTATTTGGCCTTTCAAAGGTCTTCTCTGAACCTTCTATATAGTAACAAGTGCATCGCTACTAGTAACAAGGGCAGTACTACTAGTAACAAGAAGCTACTAAGTGGCGATGCACTTGTTACTAGTAGCGATGCACAATGCACTTGCTACCAGTAGCGATGCACTTGTTTCTAGTAGCGATGCACTTGTTACTAGTAGCGATGCACTTGCTACTAGTAGCGACGCACTTGTTACTAGTAGCCATGCACTTGTTACTAGTAGCGGTGCGCTTGCCACTGGTAGCTTTTGTAGAGTGATTCCCAACACTTTCTGGTAGCTCCCGTGCAGGCGTTCGCCGAAAGCTTCAGCTCCAGCAGCTCCAGCAGCTCCAGCAGCTCCAGCAGCTCCAGCAGCTCCAGCTCCCCACTCTGCCCCGCTCGGCAGAAGGATCAGCGGGGTCTTTGGGCATGGCGGAGCTGCGAGGCACGCCAGCCCCACGAGGAAAGTCCTTCGGGTGGTACTAGCTATTTGGGGTGATGTGGGTACGTTTCCATGTGGTACTTTGTTCTTCACGGCAAATATCTCACAAGGATCACCCTAGTTGTGAAATCTCAGCCAATTTTACGAAAGGTAGCTTCAGCTGCTTGAGTTCTACTTGCTTTAGCTACCCCTGCTTGCCTGGTACTGGTGGCTACCTCTCGTTCACCCTGTCCTCTCTCAGTCTCACGTTCAGGTGTTGGTCTTGTGCGCTGTACTCGCCCGTGGTCGTACTGCCCACAGTCGTTCACAGAGCTCACGGGGTGGCAGTGCCTCAGAGTTCAGGGTGGAGGTTTCAGGGTGGAAAAGCAAGCATTGGTTGAAGATCGGGGTCGAAAAGACATGAACAGACAATGTAAATAAAGTATCATAATCAGAATCAGCATATATTTGTATCTTTAGTATGTATATTGCATTTATGTATATAGTAGAGGGAGTCTGTTCAAAGAAGACTTCGGGCTTTGTTTGGGTGGGGGGAAGTCCCACTGCACACCTCTAGGTCACTAGGACTACTATATATACAGTGGTTTCAGATGGCACAGACACCATGATGCCCTTTAGATGGGGGTCCGTATAAACTACCTCTTGGGGTCTGTGCCATTGGTCCTCTCAATCCACTATATATAATTATATATATACTGTATGTTCGCCCCTGTGGCCCAGAAGCGCTTGTTGTCGCAGTTCAAAGCAAGTCAAGCCACGGAGCTTTTGCGACTGGCCCGCGGCACTTGTCACCGTGTCATGCCACGGAGGTGTCCTTGTTCTCAGCGCACCTCCGCGGTGCCTCCAGCGGACCAAAATGGGTTGCAAAGTAATCTGACCCCGACTGGTCCGTGACCCCACGGTGTTGGCATCGACGAGATCTCGAGAGTCTTTCAAGTGCCAAGAGTTGCTGGTCTTGTGCGCCAAGGATCCGGGAACATCATCTTGATGAGGAGTCAGGAGATGGAAAGCGAGGTTCAGGCCGGGTGGATGGACATATGTCCAGCGTTTTTGGAGGGTCCGGTGCCCACTCGGAACTGGTGAAACCATGTGGTGAACATGCAGGTGTGTGTGTGTGTGCCCCTTGGAGTCACAGGGATCCGTTTGGATGGTACTTTTGATGCTGTTTCCGTCTTTTTTGAGCAGGGGCGTACGGCTCGTCATACCCACCGTACGCAACGAAGCTACGGTATGACAAGGGAAGGGTGGACTGATCATCCACTTGTACCTGCTTGAATTTTAACATGTGCCGAGATATTCTGCAGACATGCACGACACGTCGTCATTTCGACCTGATCGCCGTTCTCGGTCTTGAGATTTTGGCCTCACCTCCTTTTGAAGACCCCCAGGCCCCTAAGTTTCTTCTGGACTTTTTCAGGATTTGGGTTTCTTAGGCTGGCGTGTGGCATGTGGCTTTCAGTTCCGTATTCATATCTATAAGTGTGTGCAAGCGGGTGAGTGAGCAAGTATGCAAGAATAGCCGTGTGCTCGTGGGTGTTGAGCAGTGTTGTATTGAGCCACTTTTCAGGAAAGACAACTTCATGTCCACGAATTCGTCAGGTCTCTTGAGGACACCTTGCACGCATAGTTTTGTGCAAGTGCACAAACGTGTGCACGTGCAAGTGCGTGTGTACGCGTCTAACATGCTGAGTGGACTTTGCCAAATGATCAAATGGACTGACTGGTTCGGCCACTCGTCAAACTACACGTGCACTCGTTTGCCAAGTCGTTTGTGCACTCGTGCCCCACTCGTTCAAAACTATTCACTGGTATCATGGTTGCACACATGTGAGGCAGATCCCACTAGCGACCTTTTTTTAACTGCATGAATGGTCCACGGCAGGATGCCTCTACCCAAGCGCCGGATGAGGAGGATCGTGAACTGAGTGGTTTGTTGCGACCGGGGCGGGTCATCCCAAGGCCAAAACATCCAAAACTATGTGTTTGAACCCATTCTCAGGGGTGGAAAGATAGACCCTTCCAAGCCCCGCGGGGGCGGAGAAAGGTCCAATCAACTGAACCCTCAGGCTTCCATACTGAACCGTCCGGCACCATTCTTACGGCTTGTTTGTTTGCCACCGGGTTGTTCCACGTCTTTATCCTCGTTTTGCTTTGTGCCAGATGGTTGGTCGGACGCAGTGCAATCCGTCCCGCAGCAAAAGGTCATATCAAAATAATAGTTGCTGGGCTGTGTGACGTGGCATAGGAGCCAGAAGTGGTTTTTTCAGTCGGTAGGACGTCACCATGTTACATTTGCATCAGCACAGCCGAAAAGCAGCACCCAGCTTCGTGGTAAGGACGAAGATGTTTCAAGGCATATGTTTCAAAGGTATGTAGGTTCTCCCCAGGAAACCCTTTTACTAATGGCCCCCGCTTTCCGTGGCGTTTGGACGCACGGCACGCGCGGAGTCTCGTCAGACACGTGACTCCTCCCGACGAACATGTGTGGCATAATAGGTGAAGAAAACAAGAAAACAGCAACTCAAGGATTGGCCACAAAGGACCTCTTTGGAAGATGAGATGATGTTTTTTTGTTTGGCCCAGTAGTGGGCAAAAACAGCCATACAGACATGATTTTTGGATCAACTTTTATATAATAGATTTGACGAGTTCACCAAGTTTGCTGTCGTTTGCGCGTCCCTTTGGAATTCACCATGATGCCTGAAAAGACTGCTGTTGGCCGCTTCATGCGCATGTGGAGTCTCCTTGTTTCACCCGTGTGACCTTCGAGGCCACCCGGAGAGAGAAGCTCTTGACACGGCTTCGGGAGGAGGTCTCTGGATCGACACTTGCCAGAGCTGGCGGCGAATGTCAGACTGAGATAACAATAGCAGGGTGAATTGAGTGCTTCCGAGTTGGTGCTTCCGGAGCAAAAGGGATTAGAAGGGATTTAGGATCTCCCCGACTTATGGGTGTTGGAAACGGTGTTTATAAGGTGTGCAAGTGATTTTTGCATCTTCGACGTCCTGTGCGAACACGAATGAACACCAAACAGCAATCTAGGCCTAGGCAGTGTATTCATGGCTTACTCCAGTCAAAGGGATTGGCCGCGTTCTCTTTTCGTGGTTTGGACAGGCTCTCAGGGCTGTGACATTTTTGTTGTTTGGGTGTGAAGTAGTTGGGCGAGATGTTGTGAGAACACCATGTTGAGGGGGTGGGCCATGTCAGTCGCAAGATGTTCAGTGAGTGGAGAGTCCTTTGACATAAAAGGATCGGATTGTTGCTATCATGGTAATGTTGTGTAGTGCAGACCTGCGAACAATTGAGTTTGGAGTGCATACGTGGTTTTGGATAGCTGTGCTTGCTTATCTCACCCTTTGGCAGCCCAAAGCCCATCATGACCGTTTGAATAGGGGTTGGCCTTACCAATGGATTTCATTTAATGTCATGCGGGGGACAAGGGCTTGCAGCAGAAATTGTAGGGTCCCACCGGAACCAAAAACAAGAAAGCTCGTGCTTTTTGTTGTCTTGTGATCTCGGGGATGGTGTGGGCATACATCATTCACCGAGAAACCGGAGACGCCTTGCTTGCTTTTGGCACAGTAAGCTTTGACCAATGGAGATCTCTGTCAATTGATGAAGAGCCGAGCCAAGCTGAGGCATTCGCTGGCGGCGCGCATTTTTCTGTCGGCCAGCAGTACCTTGGCACCATTGTTGCCTGTGGGGGAGGTCAGATGCAAGTTTCATCATAACGCCGCCCCCCTGTATGCCCCTCTTGTTTCAAGCAGCTTTGCAACAGCCTCAGCGGATAGATGAGGATGATGAGGTATTCGCAGCATTGTTCTCGAGAGACTTTGCGGGACAGAGAGCCTTTTCCCAGATTTTCGATTTTTGCCCAGTGTATACTGGCAACGACCATGGACAATCACATGATCACCTTTTATTCAACTCAATTTGTTTGTGGGCCCACCTGCTCCGGAGTAATTACAAATGTATTATAGAACTCCGTATCATGAGTTTCCTCTGACTGAAGGGGTGCCTCCGTCTCGGAAGGTACAGCAACCTTTTCAGTAGCTTCCCCAAGCCACTGGACATTGCATTCAAGAAGTGCAAATCTGAATCAACCTCAATGCAGTTCAGATGGTCCAGAGGCTTTAGGCTGTTGGTACACTTCATTTAGCTTCATCTCAACCACTTGTGTGCTGGCTTGTCGGGCAGTCACGACATGCGGTGCCAAGGCGACCTGCGACATGAGATGTTGGAGATCATGGCTGAGGCAGCACAGCGGGTGTGGCGAATCCGACCCGCGAGTCGTTGGATTCGGAGCGTCTTCGACGGTTTTCGGAGCGTCTTCGACGTCGCAACTGAACCTCCAGCGGGTCGAAGGTCTTCGACACGTGCAGCGAGCGAGTTCGAAACCAGTCACGTCCGACGTTGGTGTCGTTGGTGTCGACACGTGGTGAACGTATGTGAAAACCACTTCGGGTCACTGGGTTTTCGTCGAAAAAGACGAAGACGCATGTGGTCGTTTTATCACGAAAGGTATCTCCTTGCTTTAGCAAAAATGTATTACAATCAGGAGTTGGGATTGTGCATTGAATTTGGTCCTGTAAGAAATGATTCTGTTTGTCGGGGGGGGCCCCCCCCTGCGCCGGTTCACGCCGTCATGGACTTCTACCAGGGTTACTTGTGATTGCCTGCTACCTTTCGTTCATCCCCTCCTCTCTCAAGTAGAATCATTCTTTGGCGAAGGGTACCTGAAACCAGCAAGCTCCCGACCCCTAAGGGCCACTCCCAACGCATTAACAGGTGGAGAGCTGGTGATTCGGGGGGATGTTGTCATCACAACGATCATTTTTCTGATGTGAGGCAACACTCAAGGGCCGGGTCTTGTGAGTCTCAAGAAACTTGAATGATTTTCAGATCGGTTCTCCTAAAGTCAGCACACTGGGCGGCCGCGTCTGGTGAGGACTACCAGAGGTCCGAGTCCGGGTCCTGACCACTTCACATGGTGATATGATCTTCTTGCGCAAGAGAGCCAAAAACACATCATGAATTGAAGAGGTTTTGCCATCTAATTGGGTGGTTTTATTAGTTCGTCTACATGAAATGACCGCCATGCCGTTGGGTGGCGAAGCTTGGAATCCAGAGCCCAATTGGGTGCATCTCGAAGGCGGAAGCGGCAGGTTTGTTTCGGCCGGCGGCTGCCATCGGCTGCCTGCACCCACCTTCATCGGACCGTTTCCTTTCGTTGATTCAAATGGCTTGGCAATGCTTGGCATATGTTTTGCTCAGGAAAGCATGGCGTTGCCCGTGGAGAACTTTCGATGGCTGTTGCGAGCCCTTGGGGATGAAACGGTGATGACGTCGTTTCGTGCCGTGCGGTTTGACCTTCTTAGAGGGTCTGGGAGCAGCCAGCCGCTGGAGCACCTTCAACGGTGCCTTTACGGCCTTGTGGAACTTATGGATCCTTATGGCCGTAAATGCCTTATGTCTCGCCTTTGGCGTTTGGATGTTTGGCAATGTTTGGAGAGGATCTCCTAAACAACAGGATTGTTCTAACCACTCTATTTGGCCGGTTTTTTCTTGCAGATGGCTGCAGGCTATAGGGGTTCTAACTTTTCCCTGGTGGGTACTGGTACTGGTGGTTGTGTTTCGATTAGTCTTGCATGCCTTATTCTTGCTGTGTTCTAATTGTTTGCGCGTGATACTTGGGAAACCTAGGACCTAGGAGCCTTACTGACTGTTTGCGCGCTGGAGCAGCATCTTCAATTATTCTGTGTGCGTCGCGAAGTGAGTCTCCCCACTTGTTTGCCTGTTTGATTGGCGTTGTGGTCGGCTGACCCTCTGGAAGATCTCATTCTGTTTGTGAGTTATTTGTGTAATCAACTTCTTGGCATATTCTCAGCGACAGCCCGAGGCCCTCCGCAAAGCGGATGTGTCTCCCGAGAGCATCGTGCAGCTTGGCAGCGGATGTGTCAATTCCTTCCTTCCTTCCTTCCTTCCTTCCTTCGATTTCAGAGCGGGTGGATCCTGGCGTCACAAACCGACAAGACTAGACGACATTGGACTTTCTGGAAGCCTCGGAGGGGGGCTGGCATGCTGTGAGTTTAAGATTGGGGATGGTCTGCGGTTCCCGTGCTTAGTGCTAAGGTGGTGGAAGGAATCCATGAACAAGCACACCGTGTCCTTATAGATGGATGGATGGATGGATTGATGGATAGATAGATAGATAAATAGATAGATAAGAAAGTAAGAAAGAACAAACGAAAGAACGATAGATAGATATATAATAGATAGGAAAGAAAGAAAACATACAGAAAGAACGATAGGAAAGAAAGAACAACAGATAGATAGATAGATAGATAGGAAATAACTAAGATAGATAGATAGATAGATAGATAGGAAATAAATAAAGACAGAAAGAAAGAAAGAAAGAAAGACATGCAGGAAATAAATAAACAAAGAAAGAACTAAATAAAGAAAGAAAAATATAGAGAGATAGGAAACAGAGAAAGAAAGAAAGACAGACAGATAGATAGATAGATAGGAAAGAAAAAAAGAAAGATAGATAGGAAAAAACGAAAGAAGGAAGGAAGGAAGGAAGGCACGAAAGAAAGAAAGACATATAGAAAGAGAGAAAGGAAGACAGATAGAAAGACAGAAAGAAATATAGATACTGTAGGTAGATAGATAGATAGATAGCCGGGTGTTCTTTGCGGCATTTTCCAGCTGGCCGCAGTAATCAAGGGTGGTGGGTCAAGCACCCTGATCATAGAACAGTCTACGCCCTCCTTGCCCGCCTGCCTTCCCTCGTTTTATTTTTAAACATGTTACGTGTTTGTTTTCCTTTGTGTCCGTGTTCCAACAGCAGTCGGCATACGCCAAAAACGGTTCATGCAAACCAGACAAACGCACTATTGCCAGGCAGCTCTACCAACGTGTGCAAGACTGGTTTGTCAAGCAGAAGCCGGACCGAGAGCAATGGGCACAAGTGGCCTATGCACTGGCACGCAGCGGGCGTGCCTTGGCATTCGCACTGGCATTCGCAGCTTAGCACCACGGCTCGCAAAGACCGTTTCATCCTGCCAGGCCTCTCGGAGGTGCTCGAGATCATCGAGGCCATGGAGAAGGGTGCCTTGACAGAAGGAGTTTCTTTGTGTTTCGTAGGCCCATCACCTTGTCTAGAGTCTTATGGCGTTCGTCACATCAAAGAACTGAAGCCCACCTCACTGAAGACGTTGAGGTCGATAGCTACAGTCCCCACAACAAAATATACAATTGCGTGACCGCATGCATTCACTTTCTGAAGAGATGGCACCCATCCCAACAGCAGCCAACCTCCCACACTCCATGGTGTGGACGATGTATGAGGTTGATGTATGAGGTATCCGTCATCCTGGACTCTGCCACAGTGTGTATGGATCAGTATGGGCATATGGAGTATGGGGGTATTGTTCGATGCGTTTTGGGGCCCGGTGACCAGTGGGTCGTGTCCTTCCTCACCGCGCGGGTCGTGGGAGCCACAACGCGCCGAGGCCTGGAGGACTACCCAGCAGCAGATGGTCGCATGTACTCGTTGCTGGTCAGGGAGATGGCGAGGCAGCAAGGCCGGGGCTGTGTTGGACGGTGATTGCATGGGTGTGTGGATTGCATGCTAGGAATGGAGGGGATGTTAGGATGTCTTGTGATCCTAATGTGATTCTTCAATGCAAAGGATGGTTTGTGTGTGGTCCACAGCTGCCAGCGAAGTGCTGACCCATCAGATGAAATTAGTCATTCAGTTGTTACAATTACAAGCTCTTCTTCACATCGACACGAAAATCATCACCTGAGAAGGAAGGTCCTGTACCTTTGTCGGATGAAAATGTTCAGTTCTGCCTTTCCAACCTACTAGCTTACTAGCTTCTTGTTCCTAGTAGCAATGGCCTCCAACCTACTAGCTTCTTGAGCAGCCTTTGCTTTTATCACCTGCCCCATGAATTTCATGACGATCTTCACGTAGCGACGTAGCGTTTCAAATTTGGGCTTGCTCTTGTCTACTTTCTGCATGTTTGGAGTATTGTCTTGCTATTCACAGTGACATTGTGATAACTACTCAGACATCAAACTTATCAAGTGTGAATTTCAACCTGTCTAGGCCTAGGGCCTAGGCAAAACAGTTCATGTGCATTTTGCATTGAATTTTAGACCAGGTTAGACACCTTTCCCTGGCCTGTTGCTTAGGTAGGGAATGAGCGAATGGATCTACAGCAATCTCTATTGGGGGGTTCATTTCCCTCATTGCTGACCGCCGCGTAATAAATCGGACAGCGTTTCCCAGGACCATCTGCGGCCGCAGCGTTGCTGTACCGAATGCAGGCTGGATGCCAGCGAGCCCCACTGGACCCTAAATCCAAAGCATGGTGTGGCCAAGCTCAAAGCTGCTGGGTCCCTGGGTTTGACATATGGCCAAATATTGTCAGAGATGTCTCTTGGCAAAGTTTCTTGGCTTTGGAAGGCGCACGGAATGCTGCCCGACTTTGTGTCGCCTGACTGCAAATTGGGGTGAGGCTTCTCGAGAACTATGACTATTGTGATGATCAACATCATGATAAACTATTGAATGTATTGACTAATTAGTCAATTATGACTAATTAAAGAAACTATATATATAGTATATACATATTATGTAAGTATTCCATAGCCCAGGTACTTTCTCCTGACATCTTGGGCGTATGCGTCTGCCACACCGCCGCAGCTGGATCGGGCAAAGCTTTACTTGCGAAAGGGCGAGGAGCTTCTTGGCTGGGCCGGGCGAACGGGCGACGAGCTTCGCTGTGCATGTGAGGCGTCCGGACAGTTTGGGATGATTTACGCATGCATGTATTATGCATGTTATCATGCAGGTATCTTCAAATATGTCTTGAAGGCTTCGCCGAACTTCAAGGTTTGGAACTTTGGAACGTTTCCTTGGAGCCAAGTTGCTAAGTCGCCATTCCCCAGTCATCAACTTGGAGGCCTTTTACCATGTGCTGGGCGTTCCACCGACACGTTTTCCAAGGGTTTTTGCTTGCGCTCGTTTCAAGGGCATTAATCGTGGGCCAAGTGAGACAAAGTAGCTTTTGTGGGCTGCTAGTCTTAGCGTGCACCACCAGCCCAGCGATGAGGCTTGTGCGGCGTCAGCCGCAGAATGTCCGAATGGAACTGCAGGAGACGGCCATAGCGAAGCGTTGACTGAGACACAGATCAATCATCCTCTGTGTTTTCACCTGCGATGATGCGGCATGAACATGATATTGCGGTACAGATCCACTGCAAGCATCAGATCAAGCAATGCGAAGACAAGATCGCAATGCGAAGAGAGCTGTGTTTGTGTGTTTTCTGGAGAGCTGGTGACGGTGTCGGAGCCATCCGACGGTGCCAGCTGCCAGCACGTCGGATGGGAGGATGGTATTCTAGAATTGCATCAGACTAGGGCAATTCTTTTCAGGTCTTTTTGGGGTTTGCACATCTTTGAGGACCCAACAAAATTGTACAACGTCATCATGGATGGCTACACCAGGCAGGGTGGGATGAGCTGAATCAAGCTTTGGCTGATGGCAATGGAGTTGGAACCTCAGGCAATCATAACATCACGCGTTGTTCGTGCAATTTAGTTATCTACGTCTACATACATGTTGTCACGACAACTCTGCTTGATACATCCTTAGGACAACTCTTGGAAACAACACATGGTCGGACAGGTTTCTCTTGGCGCGTTTGGTCGGTGCAGATGGTGCGAGCCGGGATGGAACAGTTGAGTTTCTGCACTTCTGTGGCAAGTTCGGGTGGTCTCAAGAAGCGCTTGGACCACTTGAAATATAGCTGCATAACTGGCGTTGCAACTCTACTACTGTAATTACCACATAAGGTAATAAGGTAGTTCCCCAAATCGTGACAGGGCCGTGGTGCGCTTCCCCCAGGCTGGGCCGCTACAAGGAGGCCTTTTCCATGTTGGGCGTCCTCCGCCAGCGCGGGCTGCGGCCCAGCCATGCCACTGATTTGGATTTGGACGGGGGTGCGCAGAGGCCTCCAATTCGCGAGCTTGTTCTTGTGGTTCTTCCCTTGGATGGAAGGGAGAGCCCCGGCACCCCCTGAGCTAGGGTAATGCTGACATTCTGTCCTTCCATCAACAGCCTCATGAGTGGCGGCAAGGTTTTAAGTTTATCATAAATCCAGTTTTTCCGAAACCCATCCAGGAGGAACCGAACGCATCTGAAGATACCTCTTCTATATCCTACAAGCGCACCGGGGAGTCAGACGACAGATCTCTATAGCACTGTTTGAACAGAGAGCATCAAGCCACATCCAGCCACAAAAGGTGCAAAACAAAGAACGGAGATATAGACCTGAACTGATAGATGCCAGACATGAGGATTGCACAGGGATTGCCATGGTTCCTCGCTGGTTGCAGGGATTAGGCCGGGGTTTGTTCACAGCTTCCACAATGCGAGACAAGCTGGGTTATCTCCAATTCGACCGCAACTCCACTGTTTTCTGAGCCACTCTCCGCCAGCTTTGTTTGGGCTATATACCCCTTCTGGGTGCCAACCATCTCCAAGCAGACCATGGAAGTGTCAGACTAGTAGCTTCTTGTGACTAGTAGAAATGCGATCGGAGCTACGTTCGGTTCGCGTCCGATCGCCCCGTTCGGGGCGCGATGCGTTCGGAGCGCCCCGTTCGTTTTCTTCGTGTCGTTGGCTGCAACGATCCGAAGCACCGGAGCCCCGCAGCACCGCCGAAGAACGCCGCAGTAACGCACTCAGCCGCCCGACATCGCAGCCGCGCCCTTGCGGTAACAGCACTTGCGGTGGAAAGCAGTGCTAAGCCACTAAGCGACGCTGAACAACACCCGTTGAATCGCTGCGAACAACAGCGACGCGCTGCGAGGTCACCTTTGGCATCCTGCAGAGGTGTTGCCTGGATCGTCTGTCGGCGGCTTCGGACGTGCGACAGCTCCTGCGGATCATGGAGCAGATCTCGGTCGAACCGGACTGATGGGAGCAGGGCGGAGTTGGTGTGAAAGGGTGCAAGGTTCCTTACGAAGCTGCTGAAGTGAAGTTCATACTGTATGACACCTTGCGAAGAGGATGCCAAGCATTCCCCTGGTCAATGTTCATAGAACTGCGTTCAATTCTAACTTGCGATACCGAGCCCTTGAATTCTGAATAGTCAGGCATAGGTCGTGGACCGAGGGAGTCTGACGAACACTGATAACACGCTGTAACACCTGATGATTTTTGCAGTGTTGTGTTCTTGTTCCAGGTCAGGTGGTTTACTTTTGCGACCTCAACCAGAATCAGTTCTTTTTTTGGAAGGTAGGCGTGACGTGGTCTTGCCAACAAGCAGAGCACACTTGAGTGGTTTGGAGCAATTGAGTTTGCCAGGAGACCATGAACTACAACTTCCTCATTGAGTGCCTAGACGGCCTCATTCCAGAAGCGAGCCTGTGAAGTTTCATGATAAGCCTCGATTCATTTACAACCACATTTTAAGGCTCCGCCTCCCTTAGGTCTTTAGGTCTGCCATTTTAACGTATTTGTTTCTTGTGCTGTTTGTTGGAACTGCAATCCATGGACTCATATTGACTCCAAACAAAGTTGAGTGCTACAAGACAGCTAGTGCGGCTTTGGTTTTGGAAGAAGAGTGGAACTTGTTATTGCCAGTGGCCCTTAGTCGAACTGCCCCTGCCCAAGCAACGCAAAGTCAGTCCAAGACCGGAAGTAATTTGGTGGAATCAACTGACAAGCATACAATCGTAAGTGAAACCACCGAAAGCCGAAAGAGCTGGCTTTAGACTCACATCTGGAATTCAGGTCATAGAGTCATAGAGTCCAGTGCACAAAAAACCTGGTGCCGAAGCGTTACTGTATAGAATTCCATCGCGTTAAATCATGAAGGCCATCGCTAGATTCGGTTGGAGGCCATCTGGTCGTCTTTTCTGCTTGACACCCGACTCCCGACTCCCATCGCAACTAGTCGCAAGAAGCTACTACTCGTATATATACATATATATATATGTATATAACTCTCTCTCTCTCTCTCATTCTCATTCTCTCTCTCACTCTCTCTCTCTCTCTCTCTCGCTCTATATATATATATATATTATATATAGCTCCATTGCTCCGCCCAGTTGCTATGGTCAATCGGGGCAGATGACCTTGGCGCTGCAAGTGGCCAACCGCATGCGAGAGGCTGGGCGGCCCAGGCAGAGGTGCGAGGTGCGAGCTCGCTGGCCTCCATACTTTGTTTCCGAAGATTGATCAATTGCTGTATACTACAGTAGGGAGGAACAGGTTTTGGATCATTTGTGGTGCCCCACGGAACCAACTCTTGGTTATAGTTTTTCTTGCCACCGCAACTGAGTGTGCAGGCAAAATACTGCCGCGACTAGCTTGGACAGTGCTTTGCCCCCAAGGTTAGCCAAACCCTTCCTCTTTCATTGCAGAACGAGGGAATGAACAAGACTTCTTCCAGCAAATCAACATGCCTGTGAACGCGATGAGCGTCCTGGTCTTCCCCAGAGCGCGATCTCGGCGAACACGCTGTTCACGCTGTTCGGCTTCTGAGGCAGGCTTGAGCTGGAATGGCTCGACCTACTTGAATTTGATCAAGGCTGTCAGCAGTGCCGACCAGGCACCAGACATGTTTCCGTTTCGTTTGGTGTCTCCCTCCTTCAGATGGATCATGGATCCCTAGGCTGGGGAGAGTATCAATGTTGCGGCAGTTTGTTAAGGCATATATTTAAAAAAAGTAGACTCGAATGTTGATGAATATATAACCCCCCCAGCCATATGAAGAGGTTTGTTTTACCATCCCAATGGGGGATTTTCGTATGATTTTCGTATGATTACCGTATGATGTACCTCTTCTGGCTTGTGGCAGTTGGATGCCCGCGACCTGCGTGCACGTGCAAGCTTTGCTGTGAACATGTGGCTCGAGTCAAGCGGACGCTCTCTCTTTAGCACGAGTCCCCTCTCTAATTAGGCCAGCCACGTGCCAAAGGTTGCCACGTGCCACAAAACAGAAGCCTGTATGTAATCAGTATATAGCTGCATCGACACAAATCACAAGCAAGATCGAAGAAACGGCCTCTGAGAAATTCAACTCCGGAGATGGACCTCCAATGCTTCTGAGATAGACATGGTGCGGAAGCTGCCCAAGGCGGCGGCCCAGTCAGCCAAGTCGGCGGAGTTGCCCACGGATCGTCCCACGGCCGAGGCTGGCGCGCCGGCTGCGGTTCCAGCGGTGGTGGGGTCTGAGCCTGTAGAGGTGAGGGAAGAAAGAGAAGAGCCCAAAAGGGAGAAGAAAGGTGAAGAGGTGGTCGTGGGCCATGAGGAGAAGGATTCTTGGGATTATACTTTTCAATGATCTCATTTTTATGATTTTTTTCAAGAGTCTTTCAGAAAGACCGAGTTGTTCGTAGTGGAAGATGATCCAAACCCGCCAATCTAAGGATCTGGTGGTTTTAGGTCAGCGTGCTGATGAAGCACAGCGGCTGGAAGAGGAGGCCCAGCTGCCCTTCCTGTCTCGCTGTTGCACGCGGCTTTGCCATCAGTGCCGTGATTGTTGGAGAGGATTCCAGTTAAGATGCAGTCGCGGCTTGGATGCCCTGGAAGCCCTTTTGACTGCCCAACAGGCCGGTCGGAGGCGAAGCAGATTTCAAGCCGAGTTGCGAAATCTTGCTTCAGAGAAGCTGCCCAAGCTCAGCACAATGGAGCGGTTGATGGGACCATCTGCCAAGACCAGAGAACTCTGCCAGAGCCTTACCTTTAAAGATGAGGAGGTCCTTCATGCTTTCGCACAAGCTGAGCAAAAGAGCTCTCCCTTTGAAGCCTTAGAACAGGACTTTTGGAGTGTGCTTCCCCGGCTGCTTTGCCAAGTTTTCTTGGTCGTGATCCTTTGCTCGGGGGTCTTTTGCCTCTTAGCCACCATCGCCTTGGCACCGACCCGTAGCATCACCCTGAGCTCCACCGGAAGAATCCTCGACGCCGGGTCTGTGGCGGGGTCAGCATCGGTGGTGCATGTGCGGCCAGTGTGGGACTTCCCGCTGTTGAGCTTCAACGAGCTGCGGCAGATTGAGGAGGTGGTCTTCGAACATCAACATGAAGTTCATGTGCTCAAGGTCGCCGTGACTACGAAGCTGCCAGATGGCTCAGTACTGCTTCAGTCCACTGATTCAGCACTTCGCGTGCAAGCCGATGGTCAGGCTTTCTGGCAAACTTCAAGTGAAGTCTTCCTGGCAGACATGGAGGCTCTGAGAACTATCTCCGGTGGAGATCGGCTTTTGGGCAGCTTGTTGTCAGTTGAGGTCCTCCAGTCTTGACGGCCTCAGTGCACCCCAGGAGGATCGCCCCGGAATCCGTTTTTTTCCCAGGTTGTGATGAGGCACCTCATGAGTGGTGTAGGATGGCAACGTACTCATCCGAGGGAGGGACATCAAAGGGGTTGAGACCAAAGTCTGAGGAGGTTTCACTAGTTCTGATGTGAAGGCATGGTCTAAACCATGGCTTTCAGTATCTTCACCTGGTGCCGGAAGCGTTCTGTGCCATCCTGAGATCCGACGGATCTCGTTTTCCGCGACGCGTCCGGAAGTGCAAAACAATGAGCCCGGCCCGCCCGGCCCCCGAGCTTCGAAGGTGTTCCAAGGGCTTCTCCAAGTCTTTGAGATGGAAGTTCAACACTTTTTCCGTGGTGCTGCAAGCACTGGGGTCCATTGAAGTGTCCCATTTCTGAGATATGCCGACATCGAGTAAGCAGGTTTCTTTGCAAGACACCGGTTCGAGACACACACCATGAAAAATCCAGGACATGTGTGAGCTTACTGTGGGTGGAGGTGACTTAGAGGGTTCATATCGCAGAATTCCATTCACAAAGAATCTGAGCCTTGCCCTCAGCACAGAGAACACTCTCAGTGCCACACCCGGGAAGTTTGGACATCGATGGTAGAGGTCTACAATATTGCTTATATACAGTAATTACAGTAACATTTCTACACTGAAAGACATTGAAAGACCATGTCATTTAAGCACAGTGTGGCTTGCCTTCAGGTCAGAACATTGAAAATGTAATGTCATCCCCAGTGCTCCAGCCATTTTTCTCGAGACTTGGGATCTAGGTATAAATTCAATTATATAGCTATATATATAAGAGTGATGACCCACGTGGGCGTTGACAGTTGACGCCCTGCTCCATGGATCCGTTTTCAGGTCCAATTGGCCTTGAAATTGCTGGGGCGCATGCGGAGCGACGGGCTGCGGCCCACGGCCGCGCACTACACGCAGCTTGGGAACGAATCGCGGTCGGTTCGGTCGTCCAGACGACTGAGGACCAAAAACCCACTGCCGGGGACGGACCAAATCCTCATCATGGGGGGGCCGAACATGGTCCTAAAAAGAGTCCACAATTAGTGCCATGGTTTCTGTGGCTTGGGGTCGCCAGCGTTCTGAAGGTGTTGCGTATGACGACGATTGGGACGGTGCCGAGTCTCGTTCGATTCTGAAGGTGTGCCTTCATCGGTTTGGCCAGAGCAGGCAGGTGCAGATGTCATTTGAGCCCACGTGAACCCCACAGCTGTTCCATGGAGTCCAAACGATCCTGGAGTCTAATCAAGGACCATGTGCAGGTCGGCGGAGAGGATGCCCCACATCCCCCGCTCCAGAGATGACATGGGGCCCCCCGGCGCATGAGCCCCAAAAAGGACCACCCCCTGCTGTGTGACCCGCGACCCACGTGCGACGACAGGATACTTCGAGGACGCGACGAGGGTCTTTCAACGTCTCGTGGAGCTGGGTGGTGCCAAGAACCAGTGTCCTGGCTTTCGCATCGCTGCGAACGGAGCGATCGGACGCTACGTTCGGGGCGCTCCTGGCCGTACTACTAGGAACAAGAAGCTACTAGTAACAAGAAGCTACTAGAGGCTCCTGGCATCGCTACTAGGAGCAAGGACGCTACTAGGGGCTCCTGGCCGTACTACTAGTAACAAGAAGCTAGCAGTGTCCTGGCGAGAGTGCAGATTCCTCGGCTTTCTCCGGGCCGACCGGGCCCGGAACAACGCCAGGGCGCCAAGAACCGCAGGTGCGGTTCTGAATTCCAGGCCTCTAGGAGTGAGTGAGTCCGGTTCAACAAGGGTTTCAGTTTTCTTTTTGTCCCCTTGGTGAGTAGACCCCCTTGGACCCCAACATGTTACCCTATGTTACCCTGAATGACAACGCGGTCTTATGCAGTCTTCACTTCCTTGGCCCTAGCCGGTTCTCACTCGCCTTTTCTGTTCGACTCAGGTTCGCGTGCGCCCCGGGCGAGCTGGCATCCTGCTGGCTGGTGATGGTCAGAAGTTAGGTAGACCACAATCCCACCATATCCCACCTTCCTTGAGTGATATAGGGTCATAGAGGGTGTGGCCTAATGTCAGGAATGGAGGATCGGATTTCGGTTGGCTTCTGCTTGTAAGTGCTCTCTAACCGCACCTGAATCCAGGTGCTTTCGGATGCTTTCGGCATGTTTGGGCATCTGTCCGGATGCCTCATGCACGTCTCGTAGACGTGAATCGCTGGTGCAGAGACCGGGAGGGGGGGCAGTCTGCCAGCATGAAGCGCTTGGCAGTCGGGACAGGTACAACATGATGATGGCCATCCACAGCCGTCGTGGTGCCATGGAGGCAGCCCTCCATGTCTTTGCCTCTCGGCGGAGCTGGCGCTGAAACGAGAGGGGGCAGGCAGCCCCCCACACTGAGCAGCTCATGGGGGGGAAAGACATCACTGTGTTGCTGCAGCTTGGCAGGCGCAAGTGGTAGAGTTATCAGGTAGTAAAACATGGGTCACAGCAAGATCACTATGTGGCAGGGCCCATGCTAGCTGCTAATAGCCATCATCAGTCAGTGAAGCCCTCCCAAGACCAACCAGCTTTGTAAGGAGGACATGAAGGATGCTGGTTGGCCTCCTGATGTCTTGAGCTACCAGATCATGCTGGAAGGCTACCTGGAACCTTGGCCTCCTCGTGGGGGAATGTGCGTTGATGCGAGTTGTGGTGGTGCTGGGACTGGACTTGTGCCCATGGGGGAGGCCATGCTGGGTTGTTCTGACAGGAAAGTAGCTTGGGCTTTGGGCTTGCAGAGTGCGGCAATCACGGAGTTGCAAGGGTGATGTCCTGCGTTTCCATCCGCAAGCACATTTCATTCGCAGGTTAGCCAAGCCATGGTGCACACATCGATTGTAGCTGCGCACAGTGTAGCAGCATCAAATCATTAAAAAAACATCAATGTGCGCGTTCTTTTTTTACTTCTCGGGCGTTTAAGGGCTTGCCTTGCAGAAGCATGTGCTAGAAGCGATGCATTTACTGTAGTCACATTTATCAATGAATGTGTACTTTCCTATTGTTGAGGCTGATATTCCTGCAATGGTGCCTTTCAGGGCCTTTCACTGCAATGAAGTATAATGAAGTGAAACCTTTGGCATACTGGTGGATGACCACTGTGAATCTATGAACGTGGTTGTTTCCTTTGCATTATCCTATGCACTACACTCCACTCAATAACATGGAAGTGGAAAAAGGTCCCCTTGGAATTGCTTGGGAACGTAATTGCTTACCTTCCTCTGAACAGTTTTCCACTTCCATGTTAAGTCAGTCGGAGTGTGTATCGCATTTTTCGCGCGCAGTCGATTTCACACATGAGATCGCGGGACTTGACCGGCGGCCTTTTTCAGCGGCCAGGTAGTCCAGTGCATCTCGTCACGTGTTTCACAAGCAGCGTGTCGAAGCGGTTTTGGGGCAACTGGTGATGTGGATTTGACCCAATTCGATCCAATTCGTAGCACCAGACATTGGCTTCCCAGCATTCTGCAGCATCTTGGAGTTTTGCCTAACACCTGGCACAGCACAACCGAGGGTGCTTCCGACTGGCCAAGTGCTTTGGCCTTGCGAGAGAGCATTCGGGATCTACGGCACAAGCTGCTGCAAATTTGCAAGGAGGGAAGCAAGCCCATCAGTCAGACTTCCTGAGAATTGCAGGTCGATCTGTACTACTAGGCTTAAAAAGAACAAGCAGGTCGTTCCTTACCAGGGTTTCTACATGTGTCTATGTCAAGTTTCGAAGATGCCAGAATAGGCAGCTGAAGAACCACACCAGGGTCATCGGTGTGGTCATTGCACCTGACATCGGCTTCTTCAGGCCCGGCACATCTCTTCAGAGCCCAGGCCACCAGTGGACCAGTGTCTAGGTGTCAAGAGGCCACGAAGCTATCCCCCCAAGTTGTTGGGCTTTCTTGGGGCTTCCGTACCTGTACCACCTTGTAACTACACTCTGTGCCCATGTATCATGTAATCGCCATTTTTGCAGGATCCGCTGGTGAAGGAGGCAGTCGCTGGGAAGCAAGAGTTCCGCTAAAGAGGCTAGAGGTTATATAACAGTTGGCACCCAAGTGGGGGTTACAAAACACTTGGCCAACTTTGTTGACATATGATGGTCTCAACACTCAACATTTCTGAGCGCACTGAATGACGTTTTGATGCTCTTGTTTGTGCAAAGGCGACGATGCAGTGGATCACAAATGGACTAATGAGTGGACTATCAATATCCTCATTCATTGTAATGTTTCATCACTTCTGACGGGAAAATTTGTGCGTTCTCAGTCAACTTGGTCATCAGCAACAGGATCACTTTTCTCTTGCCACAGATGCCCGCGGATGGTTTCTGTGGCAAGAAATCCTTTCCTTGGGTTTGAAGAATTCTTGCACCTCCTGTAGTTTGGCTGGTCAACCACCTCACGCTGAAAGTCAATAAAAACTTTTGTGTCGGGGACACCGTTCTACCGTGTACCCTTCGACAGTGGGGTCACTCCCATGGGAGCGGGGAGCTGAAGCTCGTGGGAGAGCCGTTCGGCTCGCTGTATTCACTTCATGGGAGGGAGCGAGAACGAGAGCTTCGCTTGTTTCGACCCCTGTCTCAGTGAGAAGTCGGACGGTCCAAGCTGCGGCTCTGTCCAGCGACCTGAACTTCACTGAGGCCCAAGCTGCGGCGAGGCAGCAGCTGGAGCAGACCGAAAGCTGGAGGAAGGCGCGCCCAGAGGAAGGCCGGAGGAGGGGGCTGGATGAAGCAGAGCGGAACCGCCGCCTTGAAGGTCTATCATTTGCTGGTGGACGCTGCAGTCTTCAACGCAGCAACTCGCTTGAAGTTGGTATTGAGATATCAAGCAGGCATCGAAACAAGGTCACCGGGACATCAATGAGCAGAGCTATCAACTTGTTTGTCCCCATCAACTTTCGTGTAGTAGGTCAGGTGGACCGACCCAACTACCTGTAGCTCACTCAAGCCATTCAGAGTGGATTGCCCGAAAGCTTGAAGTGGAAAGCTGTTCGATAGGCGTTTCGAGCATCATGCACGAAACAAAAGTTCAGGAACGCATCAGATGTTAGGGATCTTGCTTCCCTCCATGAACCCCCTACAGTGGACCTCCAACTTGAACCCCCTTGCCAGCTGAATTGCCGGTAGTTGCTAAATTGAAGACTATACACTGCTTTGCCGCACTCCCTCCAGCTACTTCGCTTTCGTCCCTGGCCATTCCTCAAGTTTTGGATCGGGACAGGTTCCACAGCAAGCGCGGATTG